TCAAGATTGCACTGGGAAGGAAGGTGAGGAGGTTGGAGACTGGTGGGATGAAGGTGGGAGGTATGGGGGATGAGGCTGCGGGTAGTGCCTGCAACAGCAAAAGCGATGGCAAATGCAAAAAGAACTGCAGCAAGAGCGGCTGCAGTGGCAACAGCAGCAACGACAGCAGCAGCAGGGGTAAAAGCAGCAGATTGTGCGAGGAAGCGGGAGGGCGCGCAGGGAAAGGGAGAGGCAGAGATGGTGAGAATGGAGGAGTGAGGGTGGCAGGAGCAAGGCGGGGAGGATGCGAGGTGGCGGGTGGCAGAAGCATGACAGGTTCGATTGCTGCCGGAACAGCAGCGGTTGCAACCGCAGCAGTTGCAAAAAGGGCCGATGCAAGGGGGGGTGGTGGAGTAGGGAAACATCAGGCTTTTGAAATGCAGAGGAGAGTGGAGGAGGAAAGGGAGTTTGCTGGTAGGGAGTGGAAAGGAGATAGGGAAAAAGAGAGGGCTGTAAAGTCAGCAGGTGCCAGTGCTGCTGGCTCGACTGTCAAGGTTGGGACTGTGCGTTCACCGCACTCCACCGCTGCCAAGTTGGCTCTGAAGATTGGAATTGCGCGTTCACCGCACTCCACCACTGCTGCGCGGGACGAGGATGCACCAAGGAGCAGGGGCACCCCAAAAGACAAGGCTGTGACTCCGAGAGGCAAGGCACTGACCCCAAAAGGCAAGGCAGTGACGCCAAAGAGCAAGGCAGCTACTCCAGAAGGCAAGGCAGGGGCAGTGAGTGGAAAGGGTACGGCAACGTCTCAATCCTCTACTGCACCTGCGGCTCTCGGCTGCTCAGAACAATCCAAAACCCCTGGTCATTGTCGCTCCCAGTCATCTCCTTCCGGGACCGTGCCACTGTTCACCAGCAGCGACAGGGCTGCGTCGTCAGCATCCTCTCACACAACCAGCAGCAGACAACCCTTTCCGGCCAATGGAGGAGCAGCGGAGGCGAGGCGAGGGGTCAGGCACACCTTGGTCCCACCTCAACGCTCCGTCTCCCCCCAATCCTCCTCGTCTCGTGACGCCCCACCGGTCCCCAAGCATCGCAGCGCTTCACCTCAGCCCTCGGTGTCGAGGGTCTTTCCTCGTTCTCACCCTCCCCACCACTCCCCACCGCTCCTCATCTCCTCCCCGTCTCCTCCCCCTGCCAGCCGCCTCCCCCCTTTGGTAGGCCAGAAAGGCCATTCTCGCTCCCGCTCTTTCTCAGCTGGCATGCAACAGAGCCCTTGCCAGAATCAGTCAGGACCTTACCAGAATCAGTCATGTCCTTACCAGAGTCAGTCTAGCCCTTACCAGAATCAGCCGAGCCTTGACCACAATCAGTCAAGTCCTTTCCAGAATCAGCCGAGCCCTTGCCAGAATCAGTCAAGCCCTTACCATAACCCGTTAAGCCTTTACCACTATCAGCCGAGCCCTCACCAGGATCAGCCAAGCCTGTACCAGAATCTGTCGAGCCCTTACCAGAATCAGTTAAGCCCATATTTCAACCAAACTAGCATGTATTTCGATCAGTCTGGTGCTTGCCCGAACCTGCTAAGCCCTTTGTTAAATCAGTTGAGCCCCTTTGCAAGTCAAGTTGGTCCACACTTGAACCACCTGAGTGTGTGCCTGACTGAACCTCGGCCTCCCGCCACTGGCCACACAGCAGGTCAACCGAGTCAACCGAGTCAACCGGGTCAACTGGGTCAACTGGGTCAATTAGCTCACCCAAGTCAACCAAGTCAACAGAGTCTTTTCAAGCCAGGCACCCTTCAGGTGGCTGATTCTGCAGCTCAACTCATGCCTCCTGTTTCCAAGGGTCCAGCTCCTTCCGACGCGAACCTACAGAGGTTCGGAGGAGCGAAGGGGGGAGGGGCAAAGGGGGAAGGATCAAATAGAGGAGGAGCAAGGGTGGGTGGAGGAAGGGCGGTTAGGTCCAGGAGTAGTGATGAGATTGGGTGTCCAGTCGGATTGGGTAACAGGGATTTGGGTTCGAATCCTGACACTGGCATTTCTGTTGCAGGAAGTGGGGAAGTAGCGGGAATGGTAGTGGGAAGAGAGAGGAGGAGGAGGAGGAGGAGGAGGAGGAGGAGGAGGAGGAGGAGGAGGAGGAGGAGGAGGAGGAGGAGGAGGAGGAGGAGGAGGAGGAGGAGGAGGAGGAGGAGGAGGAGGAGGGGAGGGGGGGGGGTAGGGTGAGTGTGAGGCAAGGAAAGGGTTTGCCAGCGAGCCGAAGCCTTGACTGGGATGCAGTGATGGGGGAGAGAGAAGAGGGAGTAAGGAGGGAGGAGAAGGGGAGGAGGGATGATGGGAGAGTTGAGGAGAGAGAGGGGGACAGGGAAGAGGAGAGAAGGCGGAGGAGGAGGGAGAGGCGTTCTCTTGGAGCAGTGGACGTGGAGAGGTGGTTGGCTGGTACTGTTGACGGGGTGGGGGTAGAGGAACCGCTAGTTACAGGGGAGGAAGACATGTATCCTCGTTTAGAGCTGAATCCGTACAGCTTTGAAGCGCTGGGAAGCTACAGTGCGGGGGCTGAACCAGCAAGTGGGTATCATGGGCCTGCAATGGGGCTTGATGGCATGTATGATGATATGGTTCATGATGGGATGGTTTCATGTATGGTTGAGGCTGCGGGGATGGGTGGAGGTATGGGGGTGGTGGGTGAAGGCATGGATGACGGTATGAGGGGGATGGGTGAAATAATGGGGGGGATGGTTGATGGTATGTGTTTTGACGGTGGAGGAGGAGTGTGGTTGCACACAGGCAACCACGTGGCGCAGCAGCAGCAGCAGCAGCAGCAGCAGCAGCAGCAGCAGCAGCAGCAGCAGCAGCAGCAGCAGCAGCAGCAGCAGCAGCAGCAGCAGCAGCAGCAGCAGCAGCAGCAGCGACAGCAGCAGCAACATGAGCAGCAGATGCAGCCACAGAAACAGCAGCAGCAGCAGCAACAGCAACAACAACAGCAACAACAGCAGCAGCAGCAGCAACAGCAACAACAGCAGCAGCGGCAGCAGCAGCAGCAGCAGCAACAACAGCAGCAGCAGCAACAACAGCAGCAGCAGCAGCAACAACAGCAGCAGCAGCAACAGCAGCACCAGCAACAACTGCATCAGCAGCAACAGCAGAAGTGTCAGGAACAGCAGCAACAACAACAGCAGTGTCAGGAGCAGCAGCAACAGCAGCAGCAGTTGCTGCTCAAGTCTCCTCAGCCCCAACCCACACCCGACAGAAAGCCCTCCTCTTATTCTTCACACCAAGGGAAGGGACCTCTGGCTTTGACTACACACAGAGCAGCAGCAGCAGCAGCAGCTGGAGCAGCAGCAGTTGGAGCAGTAGCACCTGCCTCTTTCCCCATCCTTCATACAAGCTACCTCGACCCCCCGTACCTATCCCCACCGCTCATCACCGCAGAGATGCAGCCAACTTGCCATGACACATCAAGCCATGCCACGACATGCCATGACACATCAGGCCATGCCACGTCATACCATGACATGGCCTACCTTGCTCTTGCCAGTCCATCCATGTCAGGTGGAACTGGCCGAATTGCACCATCGCTGCTTGGGGTCGTTTCCAACAGTTCATATTTACCCTCAGGTGAATTTTCAGGTGGTGGTGGTGCGCAAGCCAGAGAGGCACAGCCACGCAAGAGGATGGGCCACCATCAGCGTTCCCGCAGCATTGCTCTTGGGGTGATTCACAGGATGGCAATGATGGAAGCTGCACACACTGATGCCGGGGCCTTGGGATTCATTCAGCAGGAGCATCAGCAGCAGCACAAGCAGCTGCACCATCAACAACAGCAGGGGCAACTGGAGCAGCCGCAGCAACCTACCATGTGGTTGTATGAGTTGCCAAATGATAATGGTGCAGATTTGTATGCATAGAGGGGATTGCGCAATCTCTGTGTTTGCATTTTGAGTATCGTCAGTATGAAAGGTGGTGATTTATGCTGATGGGTCAGGGGTTCCCTGAATTCAATATGAGGGCCTGATGCTAGCACATCAGTTAAATTTATATTTAGTAAAAATCACAGAAGTAAGATGTTATGCAATGCATCACTGCCACCAATTTACATTGTACCATGCTTGGATGGTTGGTACCCCGTTCAAAGCCTATCACCATGGCCTTCTGAGTATTTTCCAACTGACCCCATATGTCATTATGGAGTAGAAGTGTAGCAGCTACCAGCTCGTGCACCTTGCCCTGCTTGTTCGTGTGTTGTGGTCGGTTGGTTGGTGGGTGGGTGGATTGGCTTCTGGCTACGAGATCCAGTTATCCCCCCACTGGCACAATTGGGCAAAACATTTGCACCAGCTTCCCTGACGGCCCTGAAAAGAATTGTCTAGCCATTCACTTCACCATAAATTGAATTTTTATAACCTCGAGCAGATTATGAGTTTTGTTTCCTGCATATATGACAGCAGGATTCTGGGTTCAACGAGGGGCGTTCGACTGCCAGTCTGGTTTGATGCTCCGCAACATGCCGCGTCGCGGAATTTCTAAGGTTCTCCTCAGGCCTCGATTTCTTCCCTCACATCGAGATTTGATGGAAACAGCTGACCACAGAATATGTGCTGTGAACGATGATTCACTCAATGGTCACAAGAAACGATTCACGACACGGCTCACGATGACGTTCTGCTCAATTCTCCTCGCTGGCTCAGCCATGCCGTAACCATCGTCAGTGTGTTGTCCGTCTGCTTCAGAGCTTACGATTCCTTTCGCCGTTCATCTGTCAGCGAGCTTATATTTTTTAAGCATTCCAGTAGGAGGGAAAAGTGATAAACGCGAGTGAAGCCTGGCATGCTAATCCACGGCTATTTTTCTGTAAATAGACGATCGCCATGTCAGCGCTTGGACCTCCAGAAAGAGGTATTCATGGCGTAGCTAGCGGAATACTTTGTTAGATTCTCAAAAAACTCCTTTCGCGTAAACATGGGATTTCCGATGCCGAAAACCTGGTAACCATGTCGCCGGTTTGCGTCGCCGTGCATTCCGATGCCTCCATGGACCTGTACACGTCAGCACACGCTACAGGCGTTGGCGCTCCTCACGACGGCTCTCGCGGTGCGACCCAGAGCCAAGGAGTTAGAGTAAGCCGTCGCCATTCTGGTAGGATTTCCGATAGAAATAACGATTCTGACGCATCGCGCATAAAGGACGTGAGCCGCAGGGCCGTCGACTCCCCGGTTAAGGCGAATCGCTTTCGTTCTTTAGTGCGTGATGACGTGGCCAGCGCCAATACGAGCAGCGGGTCGCAGTCCAGCATCGTGATTCACGATGACGTGGCAGACGAAGCCGCGAGTTTCATGGCGCACGACGCGCCGTGGATTGCGGATGCGGACGACGGCGGCTCCACGATACACTATAGCGACGAAAGCCTAGAAATAAGACCAGACGGAAGAGCGAATTGGAACATTCACAGAAACGACGAGGAAACTCACGGCGGGTTGGAAAGCCAAGGCAGCTCGCGCTTCGGACAGGGAGATAGGAGCGACTCGGCAGCAGCGCGCGGCAGCGCGCGGAAAGAGGCAACGGGTAGGGTTCGCGCGCGGCGGACGAAAACCGCGGGCGAGTCGAACGGATTCTCCGCAGCGGAGGCAGCGGGAGAGGGCTCCTGTGAACACGAGGTGACCGTTGAGACGACTCAACCGTCATGCCGGACTGAATCTGTGGGCGAGTCGACTGAAGCTCGAGGCTCGGGCGATTCGAGCGCGGTTTTTGCAGCAGAGGCAGCGGAAGGGAGATCCCGCGCGCACGCGCCGTCCGTTGAAGGGTCAGCTCGTCGCAAGTCGTCTCGGTTGCCCACCTCGCACTCCCGCTTGTCTTATTCCTCCGATCCCATGCAGACTCTGCAGCCAAGACAGCCGCAGCAGCCACAGCAGCCGCAGCAGAGAGAGCAGGAACTGTCGGCGCAACAGGCACTGCCGGCGCAGCAGTCGCAACAGTCGCAGCAGTCGCAGCAGCCGCAGCAGTCGCAGAAGCAAGCTCATGGTCTCGCCAAATCCTCCTCTCGTGCGAGCAGCAGCCACAGCGGCGTCGATGGCAGCAGCGCCGGCACTGGCTGTAGCAACAGGAGCACCTGGAGAAGGATGAGGAACAGCTGTAGCAGTGGGGACGGCAGCTGCGCAAGTCAACAGCAGCAGCAGCAGCAGCAGGAGCAGCAGCAGGAGGAGCAGCAGGGACCAGAGAGTCGAATCAGAGGCGCAGGGGCGTGAGCATGGTGCTACCGTTGCTGCACAAGATGCTTATAGTCTGTTACTGGGGTCGCTTTTAGCGGAGCAGCAGCTGCTGCAGGGGGTGGGGCAGCCGGGGGAAAGGAAGCAGGGAGTTGGGCGGCAAGGGGCGGCAGCACTGCTGCTGGACGTGCGAGGGCAGATTAAAGCCGCCACTGCTGCAGCGGTTAAGTTAACCATGGGGGAGGGCATGAGGCACGGAGACAAAAGGAGAGGAGCAGGAGGAGAGGGGGAAGCGGAGAGGGAGTGGGAGGGGGAGGATGGGAAGGATGCTGACATGGCAGTAGCAGACGCTTCGTTGATTGGCCGAAGCATTTACGATTTGAGCGATGGGACAACGGTTGTTGACGACTGGGTGGCGACGGTTTCGTCTCTACTCATGGATGACGAGCCTAGAGCGGATAGTGTAGTTTTCCCGCTTCATCTGGTCCCAATGTCTTTAATCTCCTCTAAGAGTTTAGTCTCCTCCACTAACGCCGGCGGCTCCTCCTTAAAGCCCACGCCCACAGCAGCTGCGTTCACTGTTAACTTGGAGTTACGTGTGGTAACGGGGTTACAGGCAGAGGTGAACCATCCACTGCTGGTTTCACCTGGAGGAGACGCTCAGGTGAAAAGCCAGGTTGAAGGTCAGGTGGCGCCGTTTACGACCACGCTGCTGCTGGGTGTGATGACCCCTGTGGAACAGAGTCACGGAGACGGGGAGGATAGTAAGGGAAAGGTAAGGGGAGTGAGGGAGGGCAGGGAGGGAGAAAAAGGGAAGGAAGGCAGGGGAAAGGGGAAGGAGAAGGAGGTCAAGGGAGGAGAGGGGAAGGGTGGGTCAAAGGGCGAGGGGGGGGAGATGAAGGGGAAGCAGCAGCGGCAGAAGCAACTGCTGCCACGTCAGAAATCGGGGCATCTGAGAAACCTCTCGGAAGGTTCCCTGCCTTTGGACTGGGGCAACAGAGGAAATGGGGATGATGGTGTGGGTATGGAAGGGGGAGAGGTGGATGGAGAGGATTTAAGAAGGAAAGACTCGTATAATGCTGGTGCAAACTCACCTGGGGCTCAGCGTAAGATAGGGGGCACCCGCCTGGCCTCCCCCAGTTCCAACCGCCCCCAGATGTTGCCAAAATCGCCGTCTGTCTCAACAGGGCAGATAGGGAGGGGTAGGAGGAGGCACGGTTCGGAAGGGGAGGTAGGGGTGCTGGATATAGGCCTGGGCCGAACCTGTGGCAAGTCTAGGTTCGGCGGAGAGGCAGCAGCCGCAGCTGTATCAGCTGGTGGTGCTGGTAGTGCTGCTGCTGGTGCTGCTGCTAATGGTGCTGCGTCCGCCAGTAATGCTGCTGCTGCTGCTGCTGCTGCCGCTGGTGGAGGTGAGGTGTTCAGGACGAGGAGTAAAGGGGCGGAGGAGAGGGAGAGGCGTGCACTGATGAAGCGGAGGTCGAGGTCTGTTGAGGAGGTGCCTCAGTGCGAGGCAGATCTTGAGCATGATAGGGCAGAGCCACAAGGTGACGTTTCTGAGAAATCTCAAAGACACCCTGATAGGGCAGAGATACCAGAGAAACAGCGAGGGCAACGAGCCGAACCAAAGGCAGCAACTGCTGCTGAAGCAGCAGTAGGAAGGGGAGGAGGAGGAAGAGGAGGAGGAAGAGGAGGAGGAGGGAGAGGAAGAGGAGGTGGAAGGTCAGGAAGGGGAGGGCAGGTGCAGAGGTGTGCGAGTGACTTAAGTCACTCCTCCTACTCAACAAGTGCTGATTCCACCAGCCTGCACCATGCTTTTCCCAAGTCAGCTTCGACCGACGGGCGGCCGCAGCAGTCCAAAAAGCAGGAAGATGCTTATAACGCGGATGATTTAGATGGAGAGTCACGTGAAGGAGAAGGGTTGGAGGATGCTTGTAACGAGGATGGTTTTCGTGGTAACGAATCGCATGGTTCGCTACGCTCTAATCGTTCTTGCAAGGGTGGGAGTGCTGGTGAGTGTGCGGCGGCAGTGGATAAGAGGCAAGAGGCGGGTTTCGGAGTAGATAGTGGGAGAAGCAAGGCAGTGGGGCGATCTGAGTCGCTTCTGAGAAATGTGACTAGTGACTCTGGCTCAGGCAGTCTCGGGGAAAATAGTGGCAGGAGCAAGGCAGTGGGGAAACAAGAGGACGGTGTGAGAGGAGGCAGCGAGGGTGTGGGGATGATGGGAGGAGCAAATGGTGAATTTTTTGGGACTCTGGAGAGAGAGCGCGGTGTGAGAGGAGGTGGCGAGGGTGTGGGGATGATGGGAGGAGCAAATGGTGAATTTTTTGGGACTCTGGAGAGAGAGCGCGGTGTGAGAGGAGGTGGCGAGGGTGTGGGGATGATGGGAAGAGCAGACGGAGCAGGATGGGATGGGATTGGGAGGTCTCAAACAACGGGTGCTGTATGGCATGAGAGTGGGAGGTCTCGAACGTCAACTGCAGGATGGGATGCGAGCGGGAAGTCCCGAACGTTGACTACAGGTTCGGAGGGGCAGCAGGTTCGGCAGAGGCGGGTTTCCTTCTGGGACAATAGGGAAGCAGGGGAGGGCGAGGAGGAAGAGGAGGAGGTTTTGGGGAGGCACAGAGGGGAGAGGGCAGGGGCGAGGGAAGTGGGGAGGGGAGGGGGGGGAGAGGAGAAGGGACAGAGGAGGGGGAGGGGAGGGAGTATGGGGAGTATACACGATTTCCTACGATTCTTACATCTGAGGTCGTGTGAGGAACGGGAGAGAGGAGGAGGACGAGAAGGAGGACGAGAAGAGGGGCGAGGAGGAGGACGAGGAGGAGGGTCTTCCATGGGAAGGCGTTTACTGGTGCAGGCTGCATCCGAGTCACATCCACATGAAAAGGCAGGCTTCAGGAAAGCGCGGGAGCATGTGAGGAGGAGAGGGGCGTCCCTTGAGTGCTTCCCTGTGGCGTTCACTCTCAGCGATCGCTATGCAGGGAGGGCGTCTTCTGTTGAGACTCATGAGAGGGGTTCTGTTAGCGATCGCTATGCAGGGAGGGGGTCTTCTGTTGAGACGCATGAGAGAGGTTCTGTTAGCGGTGGCCGCCCAGGGAAGGCGTCTTCCTCTGAGCCTACTGGAAGGGTTTCCCGTGTTGATCGTGGCACAGGGAGAGGGAAGAAGGAGGAGGAGCAGGAGGAGGAGCAGGAGGAGGAGGAAGAGGAGCAGGAGGAGGAGGAAGAGGAGCAGGAGGAGGAGGAAGGGGAGGAGGAAGAGGAGGAGGGAGAGGAGGAAGAGGAGGAGGGAGAAGAGGAGGAGGAAGGGGAGGAGGGGGAGGTGGAAGAGGAGGAAGATGGGGAAGAGGAGGGAGATGAGGAGGAGGGGGAACAGGATGAGGATGGGGAAGAGGAGGGGGGAGAGGAGGAGGAGGGGGTGGAAGAGGAGGAGGTGGCAGTAAAAGGGGAGTTATGGAAACCAGAGAGAAAGAGACAAGGGAATAGTCGTGATACTGCTGTTGCTCCACATGCTGCTGTGGGTGGTATACCACGTGGTGCTGCTGCTCCTGGTGCTGCGAGTGGTATACCACCACGTGCGGCTGTGGGTGGTATACCAGCTTCTGCTGCTGCTGGTGCTGGTGCTGGTTTTGCTGTTGGTGGTACTCCTGCGTCTGCTGCTGCTGCTGCGTCTGATGGTGGTGCTGCTGCTGCTGCTGCTGCTGCACGCAATACTAGAGGTGTTTTTCCCCGCAGCCACTCTTTGGCTGTTGTTGCTGCTGGTGGCCCTGCTTCTGGTGCTGGTTTGGCTGCTGCTGCTCATGCTGGTGCTCCTGCTGGTGGTGCTGCTGCGTCTGCTGCTGCTGCTGGTGGTGCTGCTGCTGGTGCTGCTGCTGCGGCGGCGGCTACACGCTCCACTAAAGGCGTCTTTCCTCGCAGCCACTCAGTGGCTGTTCAAGGAAGCAGAGGGGGGGCGGGCGCAGGGAGTGGTAACGAAAGGGGAGGAAGAGAGGCAGCAGCAAAGGGAGGAGGAGAGAAGGGAGGTGGAGTTGGGGGAAAAGGAGGTAGGGAGGGGGCGCGGGCAGGAGGAGGGGCAGGGGGTGCGGGTGAGGTGAGGAGGGTGGGAACAGGTGGGGAGGTGAGGCGGGTAGGAGTGCGGGAAGAGAGGGTGAGGCGAGTGGCGGTACGGACAGATGAAGTTGAGATAAAACCCAGGCTGTTCAAATCCCAGTCGTTTGCACTGGGAGGAGGGAAAGCAGGCGACTCTGGTGCTGCGTTGGGAGGTAGCGGGGGAGGGCTTATTCAGAGGCTGTTCAAGGGGCATGGGGGCGGATTTGGTGAGCATGGGCAGGGTGGAGAAGGAGGGAGGTTGAGAAACGGGGTGAAAGGGAGAGGAGGAGTTGATGTGGTGGGGAGGAGAAGCAAGGGGCGGGTGGGGGCAGGAGAGGGGATTGCGGGGGAGGAGGGAGAGGGGGAGGAGGATGGGGATGGGGAGGCGGAGGAGGAGGTGGAAGGAGAAGGAGAAGGGGGAGAGCAGGAAGAGGTGGATTCAGATGAGGAGAGGAGGAGGAGGAGGTTGGAACCCAAAGAGGTGAAGATTGCGCGTATCAAACGCATGCTCGCACAGGGAGCACCTGCTGCAGCAGCAGACGGAGAAGCAGGGGCAGCAGGGGCAGCAGGAGCAGCAGGGGCAGCAGGGGCAGCAGGGGCAGCAGGGGCAGGAGCAGAAGGAGCAGCAGGAGCAACGGGAGCAGGAGCAGGCGACAAGAACAAGCGCGAGTCGCAGGAAGCTATGAATCCGCCTTGGGGGATGCACCACAACCAATCATCAGCTTCAGGCGATCAACATCTTGGGAACTTTCCAGGAAACGTAGCAAGCCAGTTTTTGCCACCTGGGTATGCTGGAAATCTAGGAGGCGCATTTTTTGGCCCCATGGCTCAGGCAGCAGGAGGGGCAGTGGGTGGCGGTGCTAGCATGGCAGGTGTGGAGAGAGGGATGTTTAACGCATACCAGCAGCAGCAGCAGCAGCAACAGTGGCAGTACCAGCAGTTTCAAGGAAACATGCTCCAAGGAACGAGCAGCAGGCTAGCGCCAGGGCTAGCACAAGTGGATGGTAACAGTGCTAGTGGTTTTCCAGGTGCTGGTGCTGTGGGAATGGGTGGGATGAGGCAGTGGCAGGGGCAGGCGCAACCAGGAGCGCAACTGTCTCTCCAGCAGCATTCAGCTGGTCCGTGGCAGCAGCAGCAGTTACATCAACTGCAGCAGCAGCAACAGATGCAACAGCAGCAGCAGCAGCAGCAGCAGCAGCAGCAGCAGCAGCAGCAGCAGCAGCAGCAGCAGCAGATGCAGCAGCAGCAACAGCAGCAGCAGCAGCAGCAGCAGATGCAGCAACAGCTGCTGCAACAACAACAGCAGCAGCAGCAGCAGCAGCAGCAGCAGCAGCAGCAGCAGCAGCACGCGCAGGCAGCAAGGTCAAGGGCAGGGCAGAGACCAGAGGCACTCGTGTCTTGTTATCCAACTCAACAGTCAGCAGCAAGCAGGCCTGGGACAGCCGTTTCTCACCCTCTCCGTGATGTCGGCTTGGACCCTCTTATCTCTCGATCTTCCACCACCACATCCCTCCCTTCCTCTTCTAGCAATTTCCCTCCCTCCTCCAGCAATCTCCCTCCCTCTTCTATCAATCTCCCTCCCTCCTCTAACAATCTCCCACTACCTAGGGGTTTCGCTCCAGGTGTTTCTGCAACGGGGCCTTTTTCATCTGGCCCCTTGCCTTGCAGCCTTGGGTCTGGTAATTTCCATCCTGGTAACCTGTTACCTGGTTACCACACTAGCAGCAGGAGCTTCAATTCCGCCACCACCTTGTGTGCCAACAGTGACGGCGCTGCACCGGGTAACAGCAGCTTACCTGGTACTAGTGGTGGTGGGGTAGCTGGTAATGCTTTTGCCACAGGTGGCCGGCATCGGCTGTCTCATAGTGCTGTACCAATTGCTGATTGGAGCTCTATGGTTCATTCTGCGGCTCCTGCGGGGGGAGGTATGGCAGGTATTGGTGTTATGGGGACAATGGTTCCTACTGGTGTTATGGCTTATCCGCAACAATATGGCATGCCACCTGCTTCCGGGATTGCCGGTTTTGGAACAAGGATTGAAAGAAAGCGCAGCGCATCATGGGGTGGTGGGGCGGCTGCTGATTTGGCACCTGGGTTCCTTGGCTGATGTGTCATAAGGGCAGCAACAAGTTATGTTGAATATTTTCATTTTATATTATGCGGTAGTGGACAAATTTGTGGTAGTCCTCATAGAAAATGCGTTTAGGGATGAGTCGAATTGTGGTCATTATATACGTATACTTTCGTCTATTGTGCATCTATCTTATTGGTTTACGGTTGAGTTACAGTTGGTGTTGGAAGCCTAATCCGGCTGTCCATCTGCAGACTTAACTAATATAAGGAATTTTTGTTATTTACACTTGCTTGGTTTTCGCATCTCTCTTATACTGGGGCTACTTTATTGGAGCCGTTCCCCATTTTCCATGAAATATGCCAGCCTCACGAAAATGGATTTCCGTCGCTGCCCGCCAACTCAGAAATCGTCCGTCGTCTCGAATTTCGAGCGCAACATTCCCGTGCCAATGAACTGTAGCACAGCACCAGTGCATAAATTCCAGTCTGGACTTGCCCGCGCCTCGCCAAGTTTTGGAGCACATTCACCACCACACACCGAACCGCGGATTCAAGAGATTCGACCTGAGCTGGCCCACAGGAGGAAATTGGCCTTCCAATGGCGCAGGCGAAGTGTTGTGTCAAGCCAAGCGAGAGAACCAAGCAAGCATCCTCGCCCGCCCCGCAACGACTCTTTTTCTCCCACGCACAGACGACAGAAGGCACAACCACTGGCTTGAATAATTACAGCACAAACCATCGTCCTTGCTTCCCACTGCTCACCTCCACCCATGACAACATTGCCCATGAGGGCCTTCCCTTCCCTGTCTTCGCATTGCACATGCTCTCTGCTCACATCAGGGCAGCTACGGTTTATGATTGCGCCACCGAACAGCTGTTTCAGTTTCCTGCTGCTCGCGCAGTGCACAGGCTGGGGTTTTGTGGAAGGACGGGTAGAATACGTCGCAAGAGAGTCATCAGCGGAAGCATCAGGTTCACATGTTTCTCGGCTTGTCCGTTGGTTGTAAAGACAGCCAGATGCAAGGGGGTAGTGGGGTGGCGTTCTATGCATCCGCCCTCCCACGCACTGGGATGGGATGAGAAGGGAAGGGTAGTCGGGCCCCGCACACCTCTTCTCCAGGGGTGGCTGTCTCCGCAATTCGCCCAAGCGCGCAAAATTCGAGCGACACGAGCGCGACGCCGCGCGATTCTTGGCTTGAGGCGATGCATGTCTTGCGCTGTGCTGCTGAGCTGCTGAAGTTACACTGCTGAGCTGAGCTGCTGAATAGTAAGCTACTACGCTGCTGGAAATGCACGAGCGCCACGCGGGGAATTCTTCGCCGTATCATGCGGCAGACGCGTCGGTCCGAGTAAATCCTTGGACACGATCCAATCGAAACCAAAACCCTGGCGATGAGAAATATCCATTCTCGCATCGACGACCGCGTTTTACGAAGAATACCACGATGCGACTCGTCTTGCCATCGTATAGGCTCACCTCGAAACGCAACCCCGAGATCGCACAGCATGATAAGCCTGCGTTGCCAAGTCACGTAGGATGATAAGACAAGTTTGCCTGGTCACGTCGTTTTGACCATCAAAAAGGCCCGGGACTCAGAAGTGACCTTAGTTTTCTTGTTCAAGCAACGTCCCGAACGGCTATTCGACATCTTTTCGACCATCGTCTTGTCAACCGTTGAACTTTTCGACCATTTTCTACAAACAACGTCGCGAACGCCGCTCGACGCCGGACGGCGCACCATTCAGAATCGGATTCGGGAAGTCACTTTACGGTTTACAGTCGACTTAGTTACGACTACTACGTCTCAAATTTTATCGATAGTATTGCTAATGGACGGCCACGATGCGTTCTCGCGTCACAGTGCTGCCAGACGCGACGCGTACTATACAGGTACTGACGTATCCGTTGCGGTCTATTCCGGAACAAGCCTTCCCGCATTATCTCCCGCCGTACATCTCGCCGTACCTCCCGCCGCATCTCCCGTCCCCTGGCGTGAGCGGGACGCGGACGCAGCGGCGGCGGAGACGGACATGAGATGGGCAGTTGCGCGATTCGCGGCGTCTCCTCGTACTCCTACCGCTACCACTAGGAGCTCTGCTCTCAATACTCCTACCGCTATCACCATTCTTAATAGGAACGGTACTGCTATGGTTACCTCCACAAGTCAGGGCGCACGCAGGGGGTCTCCGCAACAGCCGGCGGAAAGAGCGACGCTTCGCGCAGCAGCGGAGAATCCGCGAAATCTTCAGTCGCCCCGCGGCGCGGGGGTTTCCGCGACAGCTGGCGGAAAGAGCGTCTCCCGCAGCAAGGAAGGGTGAACCGCAGCCGCCGTTTGAGTCGCCCGGAAGGCGAGCAGCGCGGGATGGGGCGTCGCCGCAATGCGGTGGCGAGGGGAGGAAGGCCGTTGCGAGAAACTCATTGGATTCGCACAAATCGCTCGCCGTTGCGGCAGCGCGGGGGAACTCTTCGCAGCAATGCGGCGGCGAGGCGAGGAAAGCCGTTGCGAGGAGATCGATGGATTCGTCTCTGCAGCAACAGTCAACGGGGGATTCGTCTCTGCAGCAACAGTCAAAGGTGGATTCGTCTCCCCAAGCACTGCGCGGCGGGAAAGAGCGGGAGAAGAGGGGGGAGTTGAAGGACAACCTTTTAAAGGGGCAGGGTATTCTTGAAGGTGCATCCTGTGGTAAGGGAAGAGCGCTGGTGGTAGGTAGTAGCAGCACGAGGGCCATTGCGCGGGAGACCAAGGAGTTGACAGATATCCTTCTGAAGGAGTTTTTCGAAGGGGCAGCGAGTGCGATTGGAAGCATTGACGAAGCATCTCCCGGCAAGCGAAGGCCGCCGGTGGAAGGTAGCAGCGCGAGGGCCAAGGCGCGCGAGAGGGAGACCAAGGATTTGACAGATAGTCTGCTGAAGGATTTTTTTGAAGGAGCACCGAGTGCGGTTGGAGGAGTTGGCATTGGGGGAGTTGGCATTAAAGGAGCGTCTCCTGGCAAGCGAAGGCCGATGGTGGTAGGTAGCAGCGCGAGGGCGCACAGCAGGAGGACTATTGGGTCACTGGCAGAGCTGCGCCAGCTGGCAATGGCAGAGCATGGGCCGCAGCTGACGCAGCATGGGCGGCAGCTGACGCAGCATGAGCAGCAGCAGCAGAAGGAGCGGGCGAAGAGGGGTAACAGCGGGCCCTTGCGCGTGTCTCCGTCTGCCCATTCCCAGCGCAGGCGGAACAGAAGCATGGGAGACGATGATGTGCCTTTTGACTCGCCCCAGCAGCCCCAACAGTCACCTCGCAGGCGCAACAGAAGGGTGCGGGATGATTCCGCGCATGTGAGTTTACCCAAGAGTCGCCTAGGGATTGCACCTGCAGCCTCGCATGCAGTACCATCGGCAAGCGATGGGGAGGGCGAGAGAAATCGGACAGTTAACCGCGAATCGCCTCGCGCGCCATCCGTCCTTTTCTCGGCAGGCAGGCACGCAGACGATGGGAGGATGAAGAGTGTTGGAGCGGCTGTTGGGAGCCCAAGAGGGGATTCCCTAGACGAGCAAACGGCGGAGGAAGCAGTGGGGTTGGAAGAAGAAGAGGGAGAGGAAGAGGGAGATGGAGATGAGGATGTGTGCAGAAGTTTTCCCAGCAGCAGAGGTTTATCAGACGCAGGCTGCTACTGTGAATCGCCTCGTTCCACAGCAGTTCTCTCCTCTGCCCCGCGTCTGGACCAGCCACAGTGCTTCTCCCCCGAAGCAACCACTCCCGGCCGCCTTGCTTCCTCGTTAAAAGCACTCGTTGGCAGGCTGACGTTTGCGCGCACACGTGGGGACGGCAGCAGGGGAGGGGAGAGGGGGGCTGGGGGTAGCAGTGGCGGCAGCAGCAGTGGTGGCAGCGGCAGCAGTGGTGGCCGCAGTGGGGGCCGCAGTGGGGGCCGCAGGGCTGGTAGGTTCAAGGAGCCTGCAACCCCAACGCAAAAGCACGAGCTGCAGCGCGGCGAAACTCTGAAACGTAGGAGTGGAAAGGCAGGCAGTGCTGCTAGAGGCGAGACGGCCTCCAAGCCCTTGGGTGATCCCATGCGACGGCCCTCATTCCAAGGGGAAACTGCAGCGGCAGCAGCGGAATCAGCGGCAGCAGTGGCATCGGCGACAGCAGCACAGGATGCACCGACAGCATCCCCCACAGCAGCAACGTCAGACCTAGTAATTGTGAAGCAACAGCGCAGTGAAGGGACACATGGTGCAGGTGCAGGTGCAGGTGCAGGTGCAGATGCAGGCGCAGGTGCAGGCGCGGGCACAGGCGCGGGGGAAGGCGCGGGGACAGGCGCGGGGGCAGAGGGCTGTGATGCAGCAGGCACGTCTGTCTCCCAAGTATCACCAGCCGGGCGGCTCAGTGGCCAAGCTATTGCCGACCAGCCGGCGCTTGCTGACCAGAGGGAGCTTGCAGGCCAGCAAGAAATTGCCGGGTGGTTTGATACAGCAGGTGGGAGGCACGAGCAAGGCTGGGGAGGCCTGCACCAGATGCACCAGATGCAGCAGATGCAGCAGCACAACGGAGATACGGATCTGTACCAGCAGGTTTACCAGCCAGAGAGTTATCAGCCAGCGGCTTATCAACCAGAGGTTTGTCAGCAGGAGTTTTATCAGGGAGAGGTTCATCGCTCGGACGTGCCAGGGCTGAACTTCGACTCGCCCCAGAGTCATCTGCATCCCCACGACAACTGGAGACATGATTTGTACGGGCAGGTTGATCTGCCCGAGGTGCAAGTGCAGGAAGAGGCATGGAGACCCCCGACAGCAGCAGCTGCAGTGGCGGCGGCAGCAGCAGCAGCTGATGTGTCAGCAGCAAATGCAGCAGCAGGAATGGCAGGGGCATTGAAAGTCCAGCAATGGTTGCAATATGCGGATTTCACATCCTGGCCTGTGGAGACAGAGGTGGAGTGGGATGGGAATGGGTGGGAAGGGGTGAGCACGTGGGATGGGAGGAGCACGTGGGAGGGGGGGAGCGTGTGTGGAGGGGGTTGTGTGCGGCCTTGGGTGCATACTCCCTGCTGCCACACCCTTTTCGAGTTTCAGGAGGATATATCAGTTTCAGAGGCAGCTGAGCTGTGGGGTTACAATGGACTGCATTCAAATGGGTTGCATTCAAACGGAATTCGTTCAATGGAACCGGTCTCTTGCCCCTCAACTGTGCAGCACCCAGGCGTTCCGCAGTGGTACCCTTTTGAGCAAGATTCAATACAAGGGCCTGGCTTCACGCAGCAAGCAGAGTTGGATCAGCAACAGCTGAAGGATGGATCGTGGTTTCATGATGCAACGGCAACGCCGTACAGCACACAAGTTTCAAGTGGTGGTTACAAGTGCCACCAGTTTCAGATGCAGTATAACAATGCTCATTCGTGTGGTTCGCCTGCTCAAGACGAGTGGCACCGTGAACTGTGGTTTGCTCCAAGTGCGCAAGTGATAAGATATCCCTGAACACATCCCTGTAAACAGCACTAGTAAAGCTAGTAAACTTGGTATTTTTTCGGCAAAGCTGTGTAGTTTGTAACTGTAAACTTGGCTCTCGTCAGTTCGCTTCGCACATTCATCCTTCACACACGCCAAACCTTCCCAAATACCCAAACCCTAGAAGCGAATTCCTAGACCCAGGCAGTACTTATTTCCGAGAGCGAGTACTTTTTTCCGAAGCCCCACCATTCCGTACTTCCCCAGAGTGTTGGACTCGGCTCCTCCGTTTAACGTCGCACGCCGTCGCACGCCGTCGCACGCCCTCGCCTGTCGTCGTTGGCGTTTGTGCCGTGCAGTGCGTGTGAGGCTCGCCTTGTCCCGCTCGCTCACCTCGAGTCGTGCTACCCTTCGTACCTTTTTTTCCGAGAGGTCTCTAGCGTCCCCCTTTAGCTTGCGCAGGAGCAGCCTTCGCGTTAGGGTTACCAGGACATCTCGCTGTTGTAGGTGCTTTCGCCTGCCTCGCGAAGCGTGAATCTTCGCGCTTCGTTCAGCGTCTAGTGTACGGCCGGTTGTCAGAACCTGGTATCGAGTCGCTCGTCGGCGCAGCGCGATGAGATTAGAGAAGTGCTGGTTCTGCTCGTCGACCGTGTATCCCGGTCACGGCATCTGCTACGTGCGCAATGACGCCAAGGTGAGGTGAAATTCGTAACATCCGTAACAAACCATTCGGTAGAGGCGTGAGCCGGGCCAGTCTCTCATTTCAAAAAACATGTGTTTGTAAATACGCAATCACACCCGTCTCCTTTTACGGCGCCTCAGCAATAGTTTTCTCGCGGGTTTTGGGGGAAACAATCTTGGCTAAAGTTTTATCTTTGCGGTGTGCGGTGTGCGGTGTGCGGTGTGCGGGGTGTGGCGTGCGGTGTGCGGCGTGTGCGGTGTGCGGCGTGTGCGGTGTGCGGCGTGTGCGGTGTGCGGTGTGTGCGGTGTGCGGGGGGCAGGTGTTTCGGTTCTGCCGGTCCAAGTGCCACCGGAACTTCAAGCTGAAGCGCAACCCGCGCAAAGTGCGATGGACCAAGGCGTACCGCCGCCTGCACGGCAAAGACCTCGCGTCGGTGAGTTTTCCCCCTTTCCCTTCCTCCCATCCCCCTTCCTCCCATCCGCCTGCCTCCCTGGTCTGGTTGTCCCAAAACCCACCCATCCACACCCTCCCAAACCGCACCCTTACACCCTCGTTTGATCCCTCCACCAGGACACAACGTTTGAGATGGAGCGCCGAAGGAACCGCCCCGAGCGGTACGACCGCAGCGTGGTGGCGAGGAGAGGCTGCAGTCATGCGCACTCTACTTGGTTTTTGAGAATTCTCAAAAACCAGTCATGCGCACTCTACTTGGTTTTTGAGAATTCTCAAAAACCAGTCATGCGCACTCTACTTGGTTTTTGAGAATTCTCAAAAACCAGTCATGCGCACTCTACTTGGTTTTTGAGAATTCTCAAAAACCAGTCATGCGCACTCTACTTGGTTTTTGAGAATTCTCAAAAACCAGTCATGCGCACTCTACTTGGTTTTTGAGAATTCTCAAAAACCAGTCATGCGCACTCTACTTGGTTTTTGAGAATCCTCAAAAACCAGTCATGCGCACTCTACTTGGTTTTTGAGAATTCTCAAAAACCAGTCATGCGCACTCTACTTGGTTTTTGAGAATCCTCAAAAACCAGTCATGCGCACTCTACTTGGTTTTTGAGAATTCTCAAAAACCAGTCATGCGCACTCTACTTGGTTTTTGAGAATTCTCAAAAACCAGTCATGCGCACTCTACTTGGTTTTTGAGAATTCTCAAAAACCAGTCATGCGCACTCTACTTGGTTTTTGAGAATTCTCAAAAACCAGTCATGCGCACTCTACTTGGTTTTTGAGAATTCTCAAAAACCAGTCATGCGCACTCTACTTGGTTTTTGAGAATTCTCAAAAACCAGTCATGCGCACTCTACTTGGTTTTTGAGAATTCTCAAAAACCAGTCATGCGCACTCTACTTGGTTTTTGAGAATTCTCAAAAACCAGTCATGCGCACTCTACTTGGTTTTTGAGAATTCTCAAAAACCAGTCATGCGCACTCTACTTGGTTTTTGAGAATTCTCAAAAACCAGTCATGCGCACTCTACTTGGTTTTTGAGAATTCTCAAAAACCAGTCATGCGCACTCTACTTGGTTTTTGAGAATTCTCAAAAACCAGTCATGCGCACTCTACTTGGTTTTTGAGAATTCTCAAAAACCAGTCATGCGCACTCTACTTGGTTATTGAGAATTCTCAAAAACCAGTCATGCGCACTCTACTTGGTTTTTGAGAATTCTCAAAAACCAGTCATGCGCACTCTACTTGCCCCCAACCCCAACTCTTTAAACCTCGCCCACCCATTCCCCCCCTTCGCCTTCAGGACACAACGTTCGAGATGGAACGGCGGAGGAACCGGCCCGAGCGGTACGACCGCAACAACGTGGTGGCGAGGAGAGGCGTGCCGCTCTTGTCTGGTTGTCGCCAAACCTCACCCATCCACACGTCCCCAAACCGCACCCTTTCAACCATGAACCGCAGGACACGACGTTTGAGATGGAGCGGAGGCGCAACCGGCCCGAGCGGTATGATCGCAACGTGGTGGCGACGACGGTGGCTGCGATGAAGAGAATCGATGAGCTGCGCGTGAAGCGCCAGGCCAAGTTCTGGGAGAAGCGGTGAGTGGTGTGGGTGTGGGAAGCGGTGAGTGGTGTGGGTGTGAGAAGCGGTGAGTGGCCGTGTTGGGGGAAGGCGGGTGGGGAGGGGGTGTGAGGGGCTGAGTGGAGAGATTTGGTTGGCCTTGTCAGTGGGTTACTTGAAGCACATCGACGAGCTGCGCGTGAAGCGGCAGGCCAAGTTCGGGAGAAGCGGTGAGTGGCCGTGTTGGGGAAGGAGGGGAGTGCCATGGGGTATCAGGGCCCTAAAAGAGGGGAAAGGGCGGTGGGAGGCCATGAAGCGGCGTCAGGCGCGGCAAGAGCTGGAGTCCGGAATCCACCTGGTGAAGGCCCCAGCTGCCCTCGCAGCCGACCCCTCCCTCACTCACTCTGCCTCCTTCCCCGTGTTCTTTCCCCCCCTTAACAGAATGAAGGTGAAAACGAATGAGGAGCGGCGTCAGGCGCGGCAAGAGCTGGAGTCCGGAATCCATTTGGTGAAGGCCCCAGCTGCGCTTGCAGCAGACCCGTCCCTCACCCTCCCCAAGCCCATCTCCACGCTCTCAGCGTCCGTGGCGGAGCACGCAGCCAAGGAGAAGGCGATTGCAGTGGCCATGGAGGAGGGCGAGGAGGTGGGAGGAGAGAGGGCGGCTGCAGAGGCGAAGGCGGAGAGGGCAGTAGAGAGGAAGCTGAAGGGGAAGATGAAGGTGAAGGTGGGACGGGTGAGGGGTGCTGTGATGGACGCAGATATGGAGGGGTGAGCAGGGGGGGGAGCGGAGTGGGGGGAAGGGGAGTGAGGAGGAGGTGGGAGAGGAGGAGGGAGAGGAAGAGGAAGTGGAGGTGAAAAGGAGGAGGGCAAGGAGGAGGGCGAGGAGGTGGAGAGGAGGGAAAGGAGATGGGAGGGAAGAGAGCAGCAGAGGCGAGGGCGGAGAGGGCAGTAGAGAGGAAGCTGAAGGGGAAGATGAAGGTGAAGGTGGGGCGGGTGAGGGGTGCTGTGATGGATGCAGATATGGAGGGGTGAGCAGGGTGAGCAGAGAGAGGGGAGGGAGGCCGAGTGAAGGGAGTGAAGCGGTTTGTTGGCCTGCTGCTCTCAGAACCCTCGTGAGGTTATTGATTCTGGGGAACTCAGGAAATGTTACAGAGCATTCTTTGCCTATCCTGTACAGTACTACTTTGTAATTCCTTTGGCACCTAAGTCATCAAGAAGCTGGATGGAGCTTATTCTACATTATGCAAAGTATTTTTGTTGCGCATTACCATAGAATCACTCAGGCTGGAGTACATAAATTTCAGTTATTGTATAGTACCATAGCAGCTTCTACCAAGTCACACCGCCACTCACAAGTTTGCCTTAAATTAGACCAAGTGTACAGTACTCAGACATTCTCACTGTTATCAACAATCAGCTTGGAGTATTCTTCAATCGCAGCAGCTTCTAAAGAGACATCCAGGTCATACTCAGCATAAGGATCCCCACTCACGCCCTTCCTTATCTCCCCTTCCATCTCCTCATCCCTCTCCCCCTCCTCCTCCTCCTCCTTACTCCCCTCACTCCCTCCCTCACTCTCTTCCCCTCTCTCAACATCCATCCCACCTGCTTCTCCACCTCCCTCTGTCCCCCCTCCCCCTGCCCCGTTCCCCCCCTCCCCTTCCCCTCCTTCCCCACTGCCCCCACCCTCCCCAGTTCCAGCCTCCCCATACTCCCCTTGCAACAAAGCGGCTGCTGCTGCTTCCACGTCGTTGCTGCTGGCCTCCAGGGCTTGTCGGGCTGTGAATATGGATTAAGTGCGTGGGGCGGAAGGGGGGGTGCGGGAGGGGATGGGAGAATGACTTTTGGGTCGACTCAAAGGCCTCCCCATACTCTCCCTGAAGCAAAGCTGCTGCTGCTGCTTCCACGTCGTGGCTGCTGCCCTCTAGGGCTTGTCAGGCTGGAGATAGGGAGGAGTGTGTGTGGGTGGGGAGTGGTTGGGAGGGGAGGATAATTGACACGTCTTAAGCTTCATCTACTGGTGTTCTCTAGGGCTTGTCGGGCTGGAGATAGGAAGGAGTGTGTGTGGGCGGCGAGTGGGAGAGGCGAGGGGAGAGAATGGGGTAGGCAGGTTGATGGAGATGAAGAGGGGAGGGATGAGCATGACCTGGTATGGTGTGACATGGATCGGCATGGATTGGCACGGCATGGTATGGCATGGCATGGCATGGCATGGCATGGTATGGCATGGCATGGTATGGCATGGCATGGCATGGCATGGCATGGCATGGTATGGCATGGCATGGCATGGTATGGCATGGCATGGTATGGCATGGCATGGCATGGTATGGCATGGCATGGCATGGCATGGTATGGCATGGCATGGTATGGCATGGCATGGTATGGCATGGCATGGTATGGCATGGCATGGCATGGTATGGCATGGCATGGTATGGCATGGCATGGCATGGCATGGTATGGCATGGCATGGTATGGCATGGCATGGTATGGCATGGCATGGTATGGCATGGCATGGTATGGCATGGCATGGCATGGTATGGCATGGCATGGTATGGCATGGCATGGCATGGTATGGCATGGCATGGTATGGCATGGCATGGCATGGTATGGCATGGCATGGCATGGCATGGCATGGCATGGCATGGTATGGCATGGCATGGTATGGCATGGCATGGTATGGCATGGCATGGCATGGCATGGTATGGTATGGTGGAGGATGAGGGTAACTTGCTGTGCAGAGAGGCCCACCTGTGCCGTCACCTGTGCCTGCTGACCCACCTGCACCGCCTCTGATGGGATGCCTTGATGGAAAGGGACGGAGTACCACCTACCTTGGTGAGCAGAGGAGCCCAGAGCCACCAGCGCTGCCACTGAGTCATCTGAACACGCACCACCTGTGCCACCAGCACTGCCAGCGGCTCTACAGAGATACCTTGATGGCGGAGGACCAAGAGCAGGTACCTTGGTGAGCAAAGAAGCCCAGAGCCACCAGCGCTGCCACTGAGTCATCTGAACACGCACCACCGCCAGCAGCACCACCGCTTCTGCTGCGCCTCTTCCTGCTGCCGTCTGCCTTCCCCTCTGCCACTGCCACCTGCAAGCACATGGGAGTGTCGAAGAAGTGCAGGGGAGAGAGCAAATGGAGGCGTCTCAGGTATCAACGCAACTCACAAGTCATCACATTGATACCTGAGAGCGTGGTGGTGTGTGGTGTGGAGGAGTGCTGAGGGTTGAGGAGTCCAGGGAGCATACACACCACCACGCTCAGAGGGTGGAACTTGACTCGAGAACAGTGAGCGAGTTTGGGTCAAGGAGAGCGTCTGGGGCCCTCTGGTGCTAGTTGAGAGCGGTGGAGATGGGCAGAGATGGGTTGAGATGGACAGAGATGGGTAGAGCGGGTGGACTTGCCTCAAGAGCAGTGAGGGAGGGAGATGGGGTCAAGAAGGGCCTCTAGGACCCGCTATTGGTGGTTGAGAGCGGTAGAGAGGGATAGAGAGGGGTTATAAGGGTGGACTTGCCTCGAGAGCAGCGAGCGAGTTTGGGTCAAGGAGAGCGTCTAGGGCCCGCTGGTGATGGTTCTCACTCTGCCTTAGTGCCTCTGCTGCCACCCGCCGCGTGAACCTGAGGTAGTTGGGAGGCACACAGAGGAGTGGAGAGGGTTGGAGAGGGGTGGAGAGGGTAAATTCACAAAGAAGGCAGTACGGGAGTTGGGGTCAAGAAGGGCATCTAGTGCCCGCTGGTGGTGGTTCTCACTCTGCCTCAGTGCCTCTGTTGCCACCCGCCGTGTGAACCTGAGATGGTGGTGGGGAGGTGGAGAAGAATGGAGTGAAGAAGTAAGACGTGAGGAGCGGTGGGGATGGTTATGGGAAATGGGGACCGGGGAGGGGAGTGAAGTGATAATGTCTCAGTTCCAATCATAGAAAGGAGATGAAACTGCATGGGTTTTGGGCACTCCCACGAATCCTGCCCACTCACACGATCGGAGTCACGTCAGCATGACGTCACCCGCTCGGCCAGTCACATTATGGAGTGACGTCAGCATGACGTCACTCGCTCGGCCAGTCACATTGTTGAGTGACGTCAGCATGACGTTACCCGCTCGCCCACTCACCCGTATGCTGCCAGCTCGTCCAGCAGCCGCATGTCCACCTTCTTGCCACGTGGCGTCTTCCCATAGGCCCGCTGCTCCCTGCAGCCGCCATGTACACACACACAGCATGCACATGCCATGCCATTATTGTTAATAAGCACCATATGTGTTGAACAGCAAAAGCATTTGTTTCTTGAAAAAGAAGAGAAACATATATTTTTCAAAAATAGTTATGTCTGTCCATACCTGCTTCCCACACGCACATAACTCACCCCTCCCTACACGCACCTCTCAATCCGTCTCTGCTTTCTGTCCTCTTCTTCCTTCTCAACCGCCCGCTGCCGTTGCAAGATGACAAACTCCGCCGCCCGGCTCACGTCGCCACCCGCCACGCGCAGCGCCCGCCTCGCCTCATTGGCCGAGAAGCCCATGCCTGCGAGGCTGGCCAATGAATCGTCAGAGACTTGGAGCTGAGGTGGCGCAATTAGGGGGAGTGGGGGGGGGTGGTGAGAGGATGACGGGGGGTGAGGGGGACAGGAGAGGGTGAGTGGGTCAGTAGCCGAGAAGCCCATGCCTGCGAGGCTGGCCAATGAATCGTCTTAAACCTGCAGCTGAGGTGGCATGATTAAGAGGGGGGGGGGGTGAGGGGGGGTGAGGGGGGGTGAGGGGGAATGAGGGTGGATGAGGGGGGTTGGGGGGTTGTGAGGGGACGATGAGAGTTGAGAGCGCCAGGGGTTGCACATCCTTCTCATAGATGGATAATGAAATGACAAAAGTCATTAAGCGGAGCTCAGTGCTGCTTCTTCATTTCAGGTGGGCAGTGACAGTGGAACATGAACTAAGCTGATAATGTCTTAAAATATTCCCCCCCCAAAAAAAAAAAAAAAAGAGGAGCATTTCCAGGCAGTACCTGCTGAAAGAGGGACTGGGCCGATGCTAGGAGCGGGCGGGCTCGTGTCAGGTCTCCACTGTGGTATGCTGCAATGGCGTCTAATAGGTCAAGACGGAGATACCTATAACGAGTATGGGCAACAGGAGGTGGGAAAAGGGAGCGTGAAACACACACAAGACTGAGTAGAGAATGACGAAGAGAGGGGGAGAGGATGGACCGACATGTGAAGGAAGGAAAGAAGGCCGGAAAAAGAAGCACTGAAGTAGGAAAATGTGAAAAGAATGGCAATCCAGAAATGGCAGTGCTTTACCTATATAGACACTCACGTGGCTAGCTCTGGTCGGAAGTTTCCTTGAAGCATCCTCAACCTTGACATGTCCGCGCCATGAGCCTTGCGCAGAGCAGACCGGGCTGCAGCGAGCCGTCCTTTAGCGGATGCCAGGCTGGCGACGTCTTTTGTCATGTAGTGGCACCATACAATGTCCAACAGGAGCATTGGAATGTTGTCTATAGCCTGGACGAACAGAAGGGAGGGAGAGGGCGTGGAAAGATGCGTGAAGACATTCTAACAGATATGCAAAAGGCAGTGGTTTTTTTCCCCACAGTAGAAACGGAACTGTAATTATACCACAAGTCTATTAACCGTAGATACAGAAATCCGGTAAGAAAGGCCTAACAGAAAATGTTTCAGAAGCATTGGTATGTTGTCTATAGACTGAACAGATGGAAGGATAGAGAGGCATGGAGAGATAAGTGAAGGGATTCTTTAACATATAAATACAAGACATGGCAATAGTGATATTTCCATGTTTTTTCAAGAAAATACTTTGCACAAAGGTATGGCAAGCACAAGGGTACTAACTGGAGCGAAGTAGTTCGGAAAGAGTGGCACACAGAACATAAACCGGAAGCTGGCCAGAGTGATTTGGTTACCTCGGTAAATTTGGCATCGCAGATGCTGAATGCCTCCTGCAACATGCAAACAAGCATGAGATAAGGCACACGGAAAGCCATGTGTTGATCTGAAGTGTTGATCTTGGGGAAGCAAGACTGGATGGGTGTGGCCTTAGGTATGTGCCTTGACAGGCAATGCACAGGCAGCGAGGCAGTCTCAACACAATCAAGACAAATTGCACCTCTGCCATCTCCAGCACAGGGAGGGCTTCCACGAAGTTGCCTTTGGTGAGGAGAGACCGGCCATGGGAGTGCAGTAGCAGGCCTGTCACCAGAGAGCTGTTTTGAAAAAACAATGGAAAAAAAAACGGAGAAAGAAATGGAAACAAAGCACAGACAAGGGGGGAACTGGGGAGTCGTGGGACGTGGGAAGGGCGTGAGGGAGACTGTCGAGAGTGAGTGGGAAGAAGTGAGATCGGTTAGCCTTATTTAGCAAAGGAAAACCCCCCTCTCCTGCTGTTCCTCTGGCCGTTTTGATGCTGCTGTCCTTCCTCCCCTACATTCTCATTGTTGATCAATTGCTGCCGCTTCTAGACTCTAACTTCAATAATTCCCAATTGACCAGATTCCAACTCCGTTACTGCTATTTATATTGAGTTGACTCAACTGTCGTCTCACCGTTTATCGATAGGCGCCATGTCTAATCTCTGCCCGCTCTGATTCTCCAGCAGCAATTCAGCATCATCATCGTCATCCCCACCATCATCACCACCATCACCAGCATCGTCATTGTCATCATCACCCCTCATGTCATGCCCTCCGCCTCTCCTTCCCCCTCTGCCCGCCCTGCCTCTCCGTGCAATGGCAGCTGCTGCAGCCCTGGGGCCAATCGAAAGGAGGAATGGGAAGGGAGAAGGGGAGGAGGAAGGATGAAGGGGAAGGTTAATGGGAAAGGTGGCGGTGGAGTGAAGCTGGGAACAAGCAAGTAAATATACAACAAATCATGCATCATTCTTCGTTCCTACTACAGCACTTAGTTAACTCCCATCTTTCAGCAATTCATACTCTATGTGTGTTTTCAGTCACTCGAAACACGTCGCATAAGTCCCACGTTACCAGTCACCCTCAACTCCTCCCGACCGTACTTCACCCCTTAAGTCCCACCCTTTCAACCATCCATTCCCCATTGCTCACCTCAGCCGTGCCAACCTCTCTTCCGTCTTTTTCCTCGCAGCTTCCTCCTCCACCACTCTCTTCCCCTCTGCTGCAATCTCGCCGCCCAATCGCCTTCCGCCACCTGTCACCAGAAGCCGTGAACCTGCCCTCACCCCAACCTCCTCTAAACTCCTCCCTCGCCCGCCCTTCCGCTTTCCCAGCGCATTTCCCGTCCCCTTCCCCTCCCCCTTGTCCGCTTCCCCATTCCCCTCGCTATTCCCCTCCACAACTCTCAATTCCGCCCCCATCGCGGCTTCCCCCGCTCGCCCTGTCTCTCCTTCCGCCCCCCCCTCCGCCTCCGCCTCGTCTTTAAGCGTGCGCCCACCGCAGATGATTTTCAAACTGCCCGCATCGATCCCGGACAGGCGCGAAAGCTCCGCCCGCAGCTCGCACACGGTCCATTCGGTCAGTGACGGAATTTCAACCTGCCCGGACCAAGAGCCAGCGACCTTAAGCGTGACCGGCATGACCTGCCTAGTGCGGACGGCGTGAGCGTTGCGTGAGCACTGGGGGCGGCGTGCGGGGACGCCGTGAGCGCGGTTGAGGGGCGCAAAGCTAAGAGGCAAACGGCGGAGAGCGTCAAATTGGGAGAGTGTCAGCCTGGGGAGGGAGGGTCTATTGACGAGGAGCGACGTGGAAGGAGAGACGTGAAGCGAGCCGATGCCAGTGTGTGAAGGAGATTCACTCGCGCAGTAACTCGAGTCCAGACGCACTGGGGAAAGTAAAATTGGCGCTACTTGTTTCGGTATGTATGAAGTTGCGACCTTGTTCCTTGTGTGTTCCACGAGTTCGTCAAGTTCGTCCGAGTGCGGCTCAACGGGACGTTTTACGTTGTACAGCGGTGATATTGATAATTACACCGGTTAGGTACGTTCTTGAGAAAATCTGACGTGTTGGACACGCCCTGAAGTGGGAAATTGATCGGAATAAAGGTGGGACTGGGTCCGAAAATTTGTGCCACCACAATGACCTTCAAACGCGTACATCTGTGAAATGAACGCTTCTTTGTTAGTCAAAACAGAACGAAGCAGAAAAAAAGTAAGGCACTTGCTACCATGGCTATACAATTTTTCCGAGCCTTTTATCTTCTTGTCCTGGCAAGGAATCCTGCCAGCCTTTGTACACACTTTAGACAAGCACTTCACCCAATTTATTCCCCTTGGAAAACTTGTCAAACCTTAGCTATGGAGATCAGCTACGTCATCAATTAGTTGCCTGATGGTGTCAACTGAAAGCATGCCTTCAATGCGGGTGGCTCGTTTGGCCTTATCCTTACCCATGAACACCATAGTTGGAAGCCCACGGATCTGCAACAACCAGAGAACCCAATTAGTTAGCAACTGGGCGGTGACAACAAGCAGCGGGAGATGATGACCCAAAAAATTTTGTGATGGAAAGGAGAACGACACCCAAAGCAGCTGCTGTTTGCGGTTTTGAGGTCATATTCAGCTGGTCTCCAGCTGGTCTGCAAGGTCGTATTCCAGCTGGTCTGCAAGGCCGTACCTCCAGCTGGTCTGCAAGGTCGTATTCCTGGTCAGTGTTCACTTGGACGAACCGCACGCGCCCATCGTACTCCTCCGCTAACTGCACACCCGTCGCACCCACGACCCAAAATGGAGAAAAAAAGCGAAAGAGACACCATGTCAGCAAAGTAACAAGGTATTTTAGGAATAATGATTCGGAGATTTAGAACGTAAGCCTCATCCTGCAAGAACCTGAATGCAAACCGGAAACCAACCCCTGTCGAATAAGTTTACCACCAAGTAATATGTATGTTCTTCCCTTTCAACTTGCCTCTTCAAGTTGCTCGGAGAGGATATCGCACGACCCGCACCAGTCAGCGCAGAAGTCAATCACGAGAGGCGTCTCTCGCTCGCCGGTCACCAGGTGATCTAGCTCCTCCGTGTTCACGTCGCGCTGGAGATAAAGGGAAGACGAATGAAGGAAAGACGAATTGCAGGGAAGAAGCATTGAAAGTTGAATGCATCGAAGAAATGTCTAGTAAAAAAACAAAGGGGAATCAGGCACTCGCTGCGGAGATGAAGGCATTACAATTACGAGCGAGACGAGCTGCTGTGAAAAACGAGTTTTGCGCGAGGGCTTGACTGTCTAAATCGTTGACGTACCACGTGACTGCATTGAATGCGGGAAGATTGCGATGCTCCAACGGCTAGTTTAAAGCTGCTGGGAAATCGCCGGTATGTGAAGGGGTGAAAGAGGGCCGAGGGTTTCGTTGGCTGCTGAGAACAGGCTTGACGTCGCTGGCTGAAGCAACTAGTAGCAATCATGTGAGTGGGAAAATACAGTGACGATGCCATTTTTGAACAAGTGTCAGCTAATACGGAGGACAGCCGCAAATGGATCGGCGAGTGGTGACACAGAATTTGGATAAAGGTTTCAATGAGCTAAACGATCTCGAATGAGCTTTTACACTAGAGGCACGTAACAGCACGTGAGCAGGTAGGTAGGTTCAGTGAGGGGTAGGTATCTATCAAGCTTTGAATGCAGAACTGATGGGAAGTAAACATCTGGTGACAGAGGGTTGGGAGGTTTGTATACGGTTTCTGTGCTCTTCAGCGAAGGCAAGGAGTAGTAGCGGGCCAACGGCAAAATGGCGGAGGGGAGGGGGAGGAGGGGAAGGGAAGCTGTCCAGAGGGCCACCGAGGCTTTTGTGGTCAAGTGGAGTGATGGGGGAGGAGTTCCTTGAATATCCTCTGGGCCAAGGAAGAGCCCAAGTTCGTGCCCACTGAATCTCATCATCCACGAATCACAGTGCTCGATTGAGCAGGCCTGACACGTGGAGGGAGCCAGTCGACAACACAGCAGCGGGATGCCAGCCATGCGGGGGCAGCCAAGCAGGAAAGCGAGTCATGCTTCCCGAGATACGGGAGATCCCTGGCCCATGTACCGCCGAGCAACGGCTCTCCAAAGCCTGAAACGTTCCGCAGCGGCGGAACGTTGCCCCCTGATGTTTTCCAAAACAGCACCTCACCGTTATAAGGTTCTCAACATTCACAGAAGAAAGCTAGTGTACTCTCGAAGGAACATTCGCTCACAAATGTGGACATAGAAATACCACATCCTCCGGCTACATGCACTGCTTTATGAATTTAAACGTTACATGCAGTCTATGCTGGTAAATTTTGCATATGTGTAATCGAGGCAAAAGCTCAAAATTGGTACCTATATGCGCAAGGCAACGAGGAGATGAAGCTCATGGAATTATTTTGAAAGTTCCAAGCTTTGTTTGAAATCAGATGTATTTACAGCCAACATACAGAATGATTATGCTTCCGCTATCAAGTAGTTCCCTACCCTAGGGGACAAAAACAAGGGAATACTCTTACAGGAACAACAAACTTCCCAAGCTGACTTTTCAGCTACCAAATCCCTGGGATTGGTCTTGTTTTCCGCTTCAAGCGGATGATGCTCATATCACCCATCCCATCCTATCACTCCTGCTAAGCACGCGTTACCGCTAGCGACTTAGCCCGATCGAGGTGGACATCCTTGGTGTTGCATTTCATGTCGCAGCGACTGTCAACGTTTTGATAAGTCAATAAAAAAGCATCACTTACACCTGTACTTTTGTCAGAGCCGCCGTTTATGCCTCGCATTGCTCCTTAGTACTTCGGAACTATATTTCGAGCCATGAGCGCGTTTAACGCTGGATGGAGCGCCTGGGGCGGTGGCGGCTCGAGCGCGGCGAGGAAACGGCCAGACGGCAGCGGAGCGGGACCAGGCCGTCAGTCACGGCCGTCAACTAGTCGCGCGACAATGTTCTTAATCCGGTTCTTAATCGTCGTGATCCTAGCGCAAGCGCTGTACATTGTGAAGCTTAAGGTGTCGCAGCAGCGGCGGCTTATGCTGGAAGAGGAACGAGACAATAACGGGGACAACGGGAACAAGAACACCCGCAATGATGAAGCGGGAAGTAGTGACACAATTTCGGGGATCGAGACGGGTTTAAGAACGCCGACAATAACAGAACTCTCTGGTACAGGAAGTCAAACAGCAACGATAAGCACCCAACCCGATATTATTACAGTGACTCACGAAGACGCCGATACCGGATCTGTTTCTACCGGGGATGGGAAGCAGCCCTCGGAGTTGCCGCGAGGTGACAATGCGGGAGTGACTGTAGCGGGGGGAGGGGAAAGGGAGGGGAGCGAGGAGCAGGGAGCAGACGAGTTGGGACAGGAGAGTGAGATGGAGAGTAAAGACGAGGAGGAGGTTGGGTCCCGCCGGGAAGCGAGTGAACGCGCGGCGGAAGCGGAAGCGGAAGCGGGGGGGCGACGGGGAGCGCAAGCGGAACCGGGGGAGGAGGAAACGGGCGCGCGGGATGGGTCCGGGGAGGCGGATGGTACCAGCAGGGGACAGGGGGAGGGGGAGGGGCAAGGGCAAGTGAATGGCGCATTGGCGCAACTGCGCGGGGGAGCCTTTAAGAGAGAGGCGGAGGGTGCGGAGAGGGGCGGAGTGGAGGGAGCGAGTGGAGCGGGAGCAGGAGGAGAGGGAGAGGGAGGGGGAGAGAGTGAGGGGGAGAGTGAGGGAGAGGGCAAGAGAGAGGGAGAGGGAGGAGGAGAGGGAGGGTGGGAGCCGTTGAGGGGGCCAGCAGAGGGCATGTCGTGCCGCGCGTGGTTGGAGGAGCAAGATGAATTGACCGTTGGGCGGGATTTCGAGAGGCGGCCAGTGCGAGTGGCCTCCAGCGAGGTGCGCGTCTTCCCTTCAAGTATGTTGTTTCACAAGGTAAGCGCGCCAGCAGAGGGCATGTCGTGCCGGGCATGGTTGGAGGAGCGTGGTTGGAGGAACAAGATGACGGGGCTGTTGGGAGGGATTTTGAGAGGCGACCAGTGCGAGTGGCTTCCAGCGAGGTGCGTGTGAGCGTCTATCAGTTATTGAGGCGACTTTTGAGTCGACTCAAAAGTCAGCTGAGGGTCTATCAATGATTGAGGCGAATATGTGAGTGCGTGTCTTCACAAGGCGCTTGCACGTGTCCTGGTGGCAATGGGGTGCGTGTGTGCTTGGATGCGCGATGAGTGTCTGTTGTACGTATGCAGTGCTGGGCTCTTTTCATCCCCCCACCCATCACAATCCGCGCCCCCCCGCTCCACTTTCCCCCCCTGTGAGCAGGTGAAGCGGTGGGACTGCGACGTGCCGTGTGAGTTCGTGAGTGCGGGAGACGACGTGGACGCGAGTCTGACGTACGCAGGGCCAGGCAAGATGGTGCTGCGCTCTCCCCTTCCTCGCCATCCCTCAGCCTCCACCCTCCACCCACCACCCTGCCCTCCGCTGCCCCCTCCCCCTCCTGTACAGGTCAAGAGGTGGGACTGCGACGTGCCGTGCGAGTTCGTGAGTGCGGGAGACGACGTGGACGCGAGTCTGACGTATGCAGTGCTGCCCGCTCCCCATCCCCCCCCTCCCTCAACCCCCCCCCTCCCCCCCCGCACCTCTTCCTTCTTGCAGGTCAAGAGGTGGGAGTGCGACGTGCCATGCGAGTTTGTGAGTGCGGGAGACGACGTGGACGCGAGTCTGACGTACGCAGTGCCAGGCAAGATGGTGCTGCGCTCTCCCCTTCCTCGCCATCCCTCAGCCTCCACCCTCCACCCACCACCCTGCCTTCCGCTGTCCCCTCCCCCTCCTGTATAGGTCAAGAGGTGGGACTGCGACGTGCCGTGCGAGTTTGTGAGTGCGGGAGACGACGTGGACGCGAGTCTCACATACGCAGTGGCGGGCAAGATGGTGCTGCGCTCTCCCCTTCCTCTCCATCCCTCAGGCACCCCAACCATCACCCTTCCCTCCCACCCTTCTCCCCTCCGCCCTTCCCCCCTCCGCAACAGGTGAAGCGGTGGGAGTGCGACGTGCCGTGCGAGTTCGTGAGTGCGGGGGACGACGTGGACGCGAGTCTCAGATACGCAGTGGCGGGCAAGATGGTGCTGCGCTCTCCCCTTCCTCCCCTCATCCCTCAGGCACCCCCACCATCACCCTTCCCTCGTATCGCTCCCCTTCCTCCTGTACAGGTCAAGAGGTGGGACTGCGATGTGCCGTGCGAGTTCGTGAGTGCGGGAGACGACGTGGACGCGAGTCTGACATATGCAGTGCCTGGCAAGATGGTGCTGCGATCAATGGAGGCGCGCTCTTACTACCCCGCCAATGACCCTGCTGTGTCCCGAGGGGCTTACAGTGTGAGTGGCATGGCTTGGCCTACAGTGCATGGCACATGGTATGCGGGGCATGCGTGTGGGGGTGTGGCGGGCAAGATGGTGCTGCGATCAATGGAGGCGCGCTGTTATTACCCCGCCAACGACCCCGCTGTTTCCAGGGGATCTTATAGTGTTAGAGGGGGGGCTGATAGCGTAAGTGAGTGCGTGTGTGGGTGTGGGAATTTGAGCACTGACAATGGCGCTGCACTCAATGGAGGCGCGCTCTTATTACCCTGCCAATGACCCCGCTGTTTCCAGGGGGTCTTATAGCGTGAGTGATGCTACGTGGTGACGACAGTGCACTATGACTCGGATGTGCCAGTGCAGTACGGGTCATGGGAGGAGCATGACATCATGCGGCCACCAGTCCTCAAGACAGCTCTCTTCCTCATCCTTGTCCCTCTCTTGACTCTCTGCAACACCATCAGGTGGTGATGACAGTGCACTATGACTCAGACGTGCCAGTGCAGTATTGGTCATGGGAGGAGCATGGCATCATGCGAACCCTGGTCCCCAAGACAACCCCCCCCCTCTTCCTTGGCTTTTCCTTGTCTCTCTGCAACACCATCAGGTGGTGATGACAGTGCATTACGACTCGGACGTGCCAGTGCAGTACGGGTCGTGGGAGGAGTATGATATCATGCGGCCACCAGTCCCCAAGACAGCTGATGCCATTGCTGCTGCGTTCATCAGCAACTGTGCCGCCAACAACTTCCGACTCAAGGTGAGGAAGAGGGGGTAGAGAGGAGGGGACGAGAGAGAGAGAGGAGGGGAGCGAGCGAGCGAGGTAGGGTTGCGATTGCGATTGTGTAGCTGCCAATCTCTAAGACAGCAGACGCCATTGCTGCTGCGTTCATCAGCAACTGTGCCGCCAACAGCTTCCGACTCAAGGTGAGAAAACAGGGGTGGAGGATTTGTGTGGGTTTTTTCTCAGCGCACAAGGTGGGAAGAGAAGGGGGGAGGTGGCAAGACAGCAGATGCCATTGCTGCTGCATTCATCAGCGACTGTGCCGGTAACAACTTCCGACTCAAGGTGGGGAGAAGGGGTTGGGGGAGGGGGAATGGGGGGGAAGGAGAGCAAGGGGGAGTGGTGTGAGTGCAGGCATGTAACCGCCAGTGCCCGAGAGGTTTGGAGACACAGCAAACGCCATTGCTGCTGCGTTCATTAGCACCTGTGCTGCCAACAGCTTAAGGCTCAAGGTGTAGTCCTCCTCGTAACCACCACCCATCCACGTGCATTGAGGTGTATTTTGAGGCGCCTCAAAAGACACAGCAAACGCCATTGCTGTTGCCACTGCATTCCTTAGCACCTGTGCTGCCAACAGCTTTAGACTCAAGGTTTAGTCCTCCTCGTAACCACCACCCACCCACGTTGCCCCAATCGTTTCCCCACGTAGACATAACCCATAAAACCGCTTTCCACCACTTCATCTCCCACACAACCGCAGGCAGCGGAGGAGCTTTTCCTGTGCACTCCTATAACAGGGCCCATATCTCACAGTACCGCTCTCCACTGCTCTGCCTCCCCTCACAACCGCAGGCAGTGGAGGAGCTGCAGAAGTTTTTCCCTGTGCACTCGTATGGTCGCTGCCTCAACAACCGGCCCTACGAGCATGATAAGGTGCGCTCGAGTTAGGGTACTTATCAACGTGATGCTGTATGTATGAGCGTAGTGGGGTGATGATAAGGTAGTGGAAGAGGTGACTTTTGAGTCGACTCAAAACTCACCGCAATGCTGTATGTATGAGCATAGTGGGGTGATGATAAGGTTGAGGACGGGTTGCAGAAGTTCTTTCTCGTGACCAGGTGCGAGTGTGACCAGGTGCGAGTGTGACCAGGTGCGAGCGTGACCAGGTGCGCGCGTGACCAGGTGCGAGCGTGACCAGGTGCGAGCGTGACCAGGTGCGAGCGTGACCAGGTGCGAGCGTGACCAGGTGCGAGCGTGACCAGGTGCGAGCGTGACCAGGTGCGAGTGTGACCAGGTGCGAGTGTGACCAGGTGCGAGCGTGACCAGGTGCGAGTGTGACCAGGTGCGAGCGTGACCAGGTGCGAGCGTGACCAGGTGCGAGCGTGACCAGGTGCGAGCGGGACCAGGTGCGAGCGTGACCAGGTGCGAGCGTGACCAGGTGCGAGCGTGACCAGGTGCGAGTGTGACCAGGTGCGAGTGTGACCAGGTGCGAGCGTGACCAGGTGCGAGCGTGACCAGGTGCGAGCGTGACCAGGTGCGAGCGTGACCAGGTGCGAGCGTGACCAGGTGCGAGCGTGACCAGGTGCGAGTGTGACCAGGTGCGAGTGTGACCAGGTGCGAGTGTGACCAGGTGCGAGTGTGACCAGGTGCGAGTGTGACCAGGTGCGAGTGTGACCAGGTGCGAGTGTGACCAGGTGCAAGTGTGACCAGGTGCAAGCGTGACCAGGTGCAAGTGTGACCAGGTGCGAGCGTGATGAGGTACCAATCGTAACACCTTGTTACAGATCGTAACACACTTGAAATCCCCCTTATTCCTCCACTCTTCTCTCCCAGCACACCTCCACCCCTTCCCTGTAACTCTTCCCCCATGTCCTACCTTGCCGGTTGGCGGTGATTCGGTGCTACAATTTCTCGTCTCAAACCCTCAGCCCCCAACCCCCATTAATTCTTCTTCTCCTACCGTGTTTCCTCCCCACCATTTCCGCAGTTGGCGGTGATTCAGCGTTACAAGTTCACCCTCGCCTTTGAGAACTCCTGTGAACCGGACTACATCACTGAGAAGTTCTGGCAGTCCCTCGTGGCCGGATCCGTGCCTGTAATTGTGGGTCCGCCCAACATTGCTGATTTCGTACCGGACAACAGCTCGTACCTCTACATTCAGGTGAGGGCTTGTTCATGTGTGTAACTGTAGGTGATGAGTAGGGTTGACTGGTAGGCCCTCCCTCACCCCTCCCACCCACAGAACGAGGAGGGTATTCCCAGGGTGGCACGGCGAATGCAGGCCATAGCTGCTGACGACCCTGGTCTTGTCTGACAATGGACCACTCTGCATACCTCTCTTCCCACTTGCTCGTTTCCCCTCCCTCGCATTTACAGAGCAAGAAAGACATTCCCAGGGTGGCGCGGCAAATGCAGGCCATAGCTGCTGACGAGCCTCATCTTGACTGACCCTGCTTCACTCTGCATACCCATTTTCCCTGACACAGAGCGAGGAGGATATCCCCAGGGTGGCGCGGCAAATGCAGGCCATAGCAGCTGACGAGGATGCATACAACAATATGCTCGAGTGGAAGCGATCTGAACACCACTCTGCATACCTCTCTACCCATTCCCACACTCCTCATTCCCCCGCAGAGCGAGGAGGATATTCCCATGGTGGCACGGCAGATGCAGGCCATAGCTGCAGACGAGGATGCATACAACAACATGCTCAAGTGGAAGCGATCTCAACCCCTCTGCACACCTCTCTACCCACTCCCCTATTCCCCCTTGCTTTCACAGAGCGAGGAGGATATTCCTCGTGTGGCGCGTCAGATGCAGGCCAAGCAGCTGACGAGGACGCATACAACAATATGCTGGAGTGGAAGCAATCTGAACCACCCTGCATACCTCTCGGCCCCTTCCTTCCTCCCACCTGCAGAGTGAAGAAGACATTTCCAGGGTGGCGCGGCAGATGCAGGCCATAGCAGCAGACGATGAAGCATACAACAACATGCTCGAGTGGAAGCGATCTGGGCCGTCGGATCAGTTCATCGCCAACGTGGATCTGTCGGCTGTGCACTCCTCCTGCCGCCTCTGTGTGCTGCTGGCCGATCGCATCCGCACTCAAGAGATCGCTGCCTCCCGCAAGCCACGGCCCTGCAGGTGAATCTCTCTGCCCTCTCCTCCCTCTCTTCCACTTTCCTCCCCTTTCCTCTCCTCTCCTCCTGCCGCCTCTGTGTGCTGCTGGCCGATCGCATCCGCACTCAAGAGATCGCTGCCGCGCGCAAGCCACGGCCCTGCAGGTGAGTCTCTCTCCCCTCTCCTCCCCTCTCTTCCACTTTCCTCCCCTTTCCTCTCCTCTCCTCCTGCCGCCTCTGTGTGCTGCTGGCCGATCGCATTCGCACTCAAGAGATCGCTGCTTCGCGCAAGCCACGGCCCTGCAGGTGAATGAAGCATCTTCCTCCCCTCCCTTCCTTGCCGCGTTCCCTTCCCTCCTCTAATCGCCCTCCCTTTCTTGCCCTCCATGTTCTACCTCCATTCACCCCTCCCTCCTACCCCGTCAGTCCCATGCTTCTGTCCCCACTGCTGTTCCCCCTTCCCACCTCGCTCTTCCTCTCACCCCCCTGTTTTCCTCCTTCGCCCCTCTCCTTGTTGCTCATGCTGACACCCGTATCCCAACCCATACTTACACTCTTTTATCCCCTCCCATGTTGGCATCCTACACCCATGTGTAACAGGTGTGAGAGTGTAGACTCAGGCAAGAAGCAGCTGACATACCATCTCTACGTGCGTGAAAGAGGCACATACCGCTACACCTCCGTCTTCCTTACAAGCACCTCGCTCACCCTACCGGGCCTCCGCCGAGCCATTCGCCGAACCTTCAAAAAGAAGGGCTACAAGCCTGTTTGGGTCGGCAAGAGACCAGCCGTTTTGGCGTCGGAAAAGAGGATCAAGGCGTTGCGGGTTTTCCACATCTATCCGGCGGGGTCAAATCAACGCGAGGCCATGTTTGGGAGTGCGTGGTTTCAGTCCACGGAGCAGTTCACTAAGTATTTGAACGACCACCCTTGCCCTCGATTAGAAGTTATCTTCGTATAAAGCCGTTTTATTGACTTGAAACTCTCTTTTTTCCTCTTTGCGTTAAATCCCTATGCCATGTTATTTTGCCCAACTCAGTTTGTTAATGAGTATTTCTTCGTAGATGTTTGCATTGATAATATATAGTTTCTCTTCTAGACGACGAATACATAAAGTTTCCGATTCCTCTGAAATGTCGGTGCCTCATAACGCGTATGTTCACCCTTCCTCTTGGATTCCTCATTGTGACACAAACCAACATTGATAATACGCACAGAAGTCTGAAGAAAGAGGCTAGTTGAATATTGAATGTCGGTTCCATTGAATGACTGCCTGAGAATATTTACGAGTTGTTCCTCCTGGCGTAATTTTTCCGCGGTACAATGTGGTCGTGATTCGTAAGAAGCTCTGTGCAAGATGCGTCGCTCCGTGCAGCAGCAGCCGCAGCGGTCGCGCGGGTCGGCGTTTGGCTCACTGGCGTGCGTGAAGGCGGTCGGACTGCCTTCCCTGCTCCTATTCGCAGTCGTGGTGGTCTTTAATCGCCATTTCCAGCTCATCGCGTCGCCTTTCTCGAAGCGTACTGCTTCCAGCCACTTATTCTCCGTAACTTCACCTGCACTGCAAACTCAGCATCCTTCTCTTTCCGCGAATAAGGGCGAACTACCGCGCGAATCTGTGGATTCCAGGACGCTTCTCCCGTTTGCGAGTCAACTCAAGCCAGAAGAACTCGAGAGAGTGGAGAAAACTGATACGATCTTACCTCGCTATAAAGAGCCCCGTTTAGAGCAGACTGTGGAAGCAGTGGGTAACAACGAAGGAGTGGATATCAACATTGGGGAGCCAGCGAGTATGAAAATTTCGTTTGAAACCACTCATAGGCATCTCGACGAAGGAGGTTCAGCAGCAAGAGCAGGCTCAAACGGGCAGTTGAACGGGCAGCGGGAAGGGGGTTCAGGGAGCCAGAGTGGGATTCAGAGGGATATGTGTCGGCCAGTACACTCGGGCAGCTGGCACAAGAAGCTTCGATCAACGGCACTGTAGTGATTCTCGTGTGCAGCTATGGTAAGATGCATTACTGATAAAACGCAGTAGTAAGGTCGGGTATAATTCCAGGCTATGGTCGTGTGGTCGTATGAAATGATAGAAATTGTGCTGTGATTGAAATTATATTCTTGCTCCCCAGATTCTCCCATTTGATCCTGTCTCCGTGCCCCACTCTCCTCTATTACTCTTCCCCTTTTCCCTCCACCCCACCCCCACCTCCCCCAACTCCTTTCCCCTCACTCCGAGGCTACACGGATTCTCTGCTCATCTGCTCAACTGGGTGGTGCATGCAGGCGCTCTGGGGTTCTCCATTTCTTATTCTCTCCCATCCTACCCTGCCACCCCGCCAATCCCCCTCCCTCATCTCCTTCTCTTCCCCTCAACCCTCCTTCCCTTCCTGCTTCGACCCCATCTAAGGCTACGCGGATTTTCTGCTCAACTGGGCGGTGAACGTGGGCGAGGTGGGGTACGGCCTGCAATTTGTTCACACTCCCATCCGACCCTGCCTCTGCCTTCCTCTCTCCTCCCCTTCCTTCCTCTCCCCCTCGCCCCATCCAAGGCTACGCGGATTTTCTGCTCAACTGGGCGGTGTATGCGGGCGAGCTGGGGTACGGGCGGAATTTCCTTGTGTTCGTTGAAGACAGGGAGACCTTTGACCTGCTGAGAAGGAGATTCCCGAGACAGGTGCGGTGCGACACACTGGAGGTTCTTAGGACAGGTGGGTGAGGCACCACTGTGTGATGCTTGTGTGTATGCGGATTAGCTGGAATACGGACGGAGTTTCCTAGTGTTCGCTGAAGACAGGGAGACGATTGACCTGCTGAGAGAGAGATTTCCAAGACAGGTGCGACACACGGGTTCCCAAGTCGGTTGAGTGAGGCACCGCTGTCTTACACCTATGTGCATGCGGCATTGCGTAGCGAGCGTTTACCATGGTCACAGACACTGTTTGTTTTTCCCTCCGATTAATATTTCAGGGAGATCAGGGGGGGGGGGGGGGGAAGGAGGAGCTGAAGCAGCAGGACTGCTGGATGATTTTTTTGAGGCGCCTCAATTGGTCCCATTTTCACCAACCCAATTCCCCGAACCCCTTTTTTCAACCCTTTCGCCAAAACCTCCCCCCCCCGCCCCCCCCGACGGCTGTGGCATCAGGTGGTGAGATGGCACGTGCCGGAGATAGAGCAGGCGGGGGAGGAGGAGCTCAAGGCAGCAGGGCTGGTGGAGGAGACTAATAGTGCCAGGGCTGGCCGTGCAGGGAGCAGTGGCAGCAGCAGCAGCAGCAGCAGCAGCAACAAAGAGGCGTTTTCTTTCCTTACATTGGGCTTCAAGAAGCTCATGTATCGGAGAGTTGCTTACATCCGCACGCTCCTTAACATGGGCTTTAATGTCCTAATCTGCGACTCAGATTTCATCTGGGTCAAGGATCCCTTTCCTTACCTCTTTGCACGGCCAAGCCACTCGGAGCTTTTAAGGAGGTCTATGGCTTCGCGGCTCCAGTTAACCAGCTCGCTGGGATCGTACAGCAACAAGAGAAAACGATACGCTGTTTCCAACTTGGATCTGCACGCTTTGCCCAGTTCTGAAGCAGCTCCTATAGAGTATGATGTGGTGGGAGTGCGGGAATTTCCGGATACGTACAACTTCTACGCAACTTCCACATACCTCATGGATCCTCGACCCACTCTGCTTGACCATGCCAAGCTTTGCGGAGGATTTGTTCTCTTCCGTAACACGCCTGGAGGAAGGCTTTTACTGGAGATGCTTATACTGAAGATATACCGGGCTCCTAAAGTCACAGGGCGGGAGAATGACCAGCTTTATCTTGGCATGGCCATTCATGAGTTGTTAAATATCAGCCCAGCTCCGTTAGTTGGGGTTCTCCCACAAACTCTTTTTCCTCCGGGTTGGCTCTATTTTCCTGAGTCTTCCTCCATGCCTCCGGGTAGGCTAAGAGTTCTCCCTAACCGTGATGCAGTCGTGACGATCCACAATAATTGGATGTCAGGGAAGGAGAATAAGTTAGCAAGATTCAAAATGTCTGGATTGTGGAGAATTTCAGATACTTGAACGTGATTTATTATGTGTGCATTGAATGTGTTGGCAATATGTAGGATCTCTATCACGTACTCGCTTTGTTGGGTTTTCTAGCCGTGGGACAAATTAAGCACACATAGATGGTTGTGCGGGAAAAAAAAGTTGTATATGTTTGATTGCTTTCAATGTACAGTAGCGAACAATGTTTCTGCAGTCGCGTCCCTGCTTACACCCGCCAGCCACACCCTCGATTGCTCCAAATTCCCGCCAGAAGGCTATAAAACCGGTTGCTGCCTCGCTTCCTTTTCATTCGTCTCACATCAACCATTTTCCTCACCCACCGTTCAGTCAAGAAGTTCGACTCGTCACGGGAGGGATCGCCTCGCCACCACAGCCTTCTCGTCTCTCTCGCCCTCTCGTCAACCCTAGTCGTCCTCGACATAGTCGCTAGCTCATTACTCTCCGATTCGTGGTAGAAGCCCTGTTCGTTCTTGGGGTACACTTTCCAGCGTTCTCCTTTCCGTTTGGTGACCGGCAAGCTTCTCCCTTCCGCCATTCTCAGCATACCGGTTTTTCATCGCCTAGAATTCCTTAAAAGAGACTCGAAGGCCTTATCGTCAATCGCGTAGGCCAGTTCATTTGCGGAATCCTATCCTCGTATATTGTGTTCATTTCGCGTGGTTTTTTTTAGGGAAGCGAAATGGCGCGTGGCGACGAATACGACGACGAGGTAGAGGAGGAGGACGAGGAATACGACGAGGAGGAGGAGGAAGAGGAGGATTACGAGGAGGAACGCGGGAAGAAGCGAGGGCGCGGATCGCAGTTCATCGACGACGCGGCGGAGGAGGATGAGGACGAGGACGAGGAGGACGAAGCGCCGCGGAAGAAAAAGGGCTCGACGACCGGCCGGTCGATGTTCATCGAAGAGGAAGCTGCGGTGGCGAGTGATGACGAGGAGGAGGAGGAGGAAGAGGAGGACGGTACGTTGGTTCTAGTAGGCGCGAGAAACGCCGTTTAGGGTTTTGGTTCTCCGACGGGAAAGAAGGATTCGATTGTTGGTGGGTTTGGTCCATGTTCAGAAGGAGGAGGAGGAAGAGGAAGGGAAGGACGGTGGGTCGAGTGCGTCTTATCAGGGTTAAGACATTAGGTTCCGCTTAGGGATAGCCGGGTCGGCTAAGCCTGTTTCTCGCGAGGCAGAGTATGGAGAATTTAGGGTTATGCGTAGATGCTTCTTCCACGTTGGCTCGCTTCCTGGATAAAGTCGACGCGTGGAGCAGACCGGAAACCCAGGTTTTCGTTTGCTGAGGGAGGGTCCCAAGCAGAGCAGACATGAGTTTTATGACCCGAATTCGTGTACTTCCATTTCTTTTTCCGTCCACCTAGGCTTCGTCGACCCGGATGCGGACTAGGGAAACGAATGCCTGTCTCCGCATTTCATCACTCCCATGGACCTCCCTTTATTTTTGCTTCTGTATCTCCTTGCCATCCCCCTAGGTTTCATCGATCGGGACGCGGATCTTGGAGAGGAGCTGGCCAACCAGCGCCCCTCTGCGCATCACCGCACCACACTAATGCCCCTACCGTTTGTTTCTTTCTCCCCCCCCCCCCCCCCCTCTCTCCTTGACATCCCGCAGGCTTTATTGACCGGGACGCCGATCTGGGCGAGGAGTTGGGCAACGAGCGGCCGTCCGCGCACCACCGCACGCTGCTGCGGCGCAACGAGGAGGAGGAGGAGGTGAACGAGGAGGACTACCAGCGGTTCCTGGAGGAGCGGTATGCGCGCAACGAGGTGCCCGAGCTGGGCGAGGGGGAGGCCACGGAGGTCGAGCAGCAGGCGCTGCTGCCGTCCGTGCGCGACCCCAAGCTCTGGATGGTCAAGTGCGAGGTACGCCGCAGTGTAGAGCGGTGCTGGGGGTAGGACGTAATGTGCTGTGCGGTACTGTGCGGTACTGTGCGGTTCTGGGCTGGGGTGAACGAGGAGGACTACCAGCGGTTCCTGGAGGAGCGGTATGCGCGCAACGAGGTGCCCGAGCTGGGCGAGGGGGAGGCCACGGAGGTGGAGCAGCAGGCGCTGCTGCCGTCCGTGCGTGACCCCAAGCTCTGGATGGTCAAGTGCGAGGTACGCCGCGGTGCAGTGCGATGCTGTGCGGTGCTGTGCTGTGCGGTGCTGTGCTGTGCGGTGCTGGGCTCTGCGGTGCTGAGATGGGCCGGGCTGGGTTCGGGCTGGGCCATGTTAAGCGCTGCAAAACAAGACAACTCCTTCCCGTTTTCTTACCACTACCGTCTTGCCTTTTATGCCCGCAGCTGGGTCATGAGCGAGAGGCGCTGGTATCCCTTATGCAGAAGTGCGTGAACCTGGAGGCACTGGGGCAGACGCTGCAGATAAATTCTTTCCATCCCTCAATCCCCTCCCCTCCCCTCTCCCCCTGCAGCTGGGTCACGAGCGAGAAGCAGTGGTATCGCTGATGCAGAAGTGTGTGAACTTGGAGGCACTGGGGCAGTCGCTGCAGATCAAGTCCGCCATAGCTTTAGACAACCTCAAGGGGTGCGTGTACGTGGAGGCGTACAAGGAGGCCTACGTCAAGGAGGCCTGCGCGGGGCTGCGCCTGCTGAGAGCGTGGAAGCCAGCGCTGGTGCCGATAAAGGAGATGGCGGGCGTGCTGACGGTGGAGCAGAAGTCGGTTGATCTGGAGGAGAACAGCTGGGTGCGCGTCAAGATCGGGCTCTACAAGGGCGACCTGGCGCTGGTGAGTGCGGTTCAGAGTGATTCCGTGCGGTTCAGAGTGGTTGTGTGTGGGAGTCTGTGGCGGCGCAGGGCTGACGGTGGAGCAGAAGTCGGTTGATCTGGAGGAGAACAGCTGGGTGCACGTCAAGATCGGGCTGTACAAGGGCGACCTCGCGCTGGTGAGTGCGGTTCAGAGTGGTTGTGTGCAGTTCAGAGTGGGTGTAAGGAGGGGGGCAGGGGGCGGGAGGCAGTGTGTGGGAGTCTGGGGCAGGGCAGGACTGGGCTGACGGTGGAGCAGAAGTCGGTTGATCTGGAGGAGAACAGCTGGGTGCGCGTCAAGATCGGGCTGTACAAGGGCGACCTCGCGCTGGTGAGTGCGATTCAGAGCGGTTGAGTGCGGTCCAGTGTGGTTGTGTCTGGGGCAGGGCAGGGCTGACGGTGGAGCAGAATACACCACGCCTTTTCATGCCACACAACACGCCCATACCAACCCATGCCACCCCGTGCCACCCCATGCCACGTCACATGAGCAGGTGACTGACGTGGACACAGTGAAGCAGAGGGCCACCATCAAGCTCATCCCTCGAATCGACCTGCAAGCTCTTGCGCAGCGCCAGGTGCGTTGCTCTTCCTGTAAACCTGATGCAGCAGCCGGCAAGAGTGCCATGCTGTGTGACTGTGCTCTGTGAGTGTGACTGTGCTCTGTGAGTGTGACTGTGCTCTGTAAGTGTGAGTGTGCTCTGTGAGTGTGAGTGCTTGTACTACAGACGTCACCGCTGCAGAGATGCTTTCACACTCAGGCACACACAGGCACATTCAGGCACACTCAGGCACACACAGGCGCACTCAGCAGCAGGTGATCTTGAGTTGATGTGAAGTAGTGCTCTATTCGAACCAGGTCTCATCTTCCTGCGCCCCTAGTCCTTCTGCCTACCCCTCAATTCCCCCTCCCCCTTCGTGATTATCTCATATCTAACCTGCACCCTGTTGTCCTACACTCTCCATGGGCGCATGCACATGAGCAGGACGGCAAGCCTGTGGTCAAGCGCAAGGCCCGCCCCGCGCCACGGTTCTTCAGTGTAGACGAGGCCAAGTGAGTGCACGTGGGAGGGTGGGCGAGGGCGCATATGTGTGGAAAAATGAATGTTAGAGCGCAAGGCCCGCCCCGCCCCACTGTTCTTCAGTGTGGATGAGGCCAAGTGAGTCCACGTGGGAGGACGTGTGGGGAGCAGGGACTGTATGCCATGGGGGACGATCAGCATGGAGGGACGCTGAGCATTGGGAGGAGGGGAAGCAAGAGAAGAGGGGGAAGAGGGGGAAGAGGGATACGTGCACAGGAGAGCACATCCAGTCCATTGAGGGCATGCAATTCGTGGATGGGTACCTGCCTGCTGATACACCTCTCCTTTCCCTTCTCATACATCTGCCTGTTCCCCCTCCCTCCCCTCTTTCATTCCACCACAGGAACTACGGCCTGCGTCCCATGGTGACCCGGCATCGCACCACAGGAGAGCACATCCAGTCCATAGAAGGCATGCAGTTCGTCGATGGATACCTGCTCAAAGTGGTGTCCATCAAATCCCTCGATACCCGCGGTGTCGACACCGCGGCGTTGTCCCCACCCTGCCTCCCTCACCCTGCCTCTGTTGCCCACTCCCCATGCTCATTCCACCACTCCCCATGCTCATTCCACCACTCCCCGTGCTCATTCCACCACAGGAACTATGGTCTTCGTCCCATGGTGACCCGCCATCGCACCACGGGAGAGCACATCCAGTCCATTGAAGGCATGCAGTTTGTTGATGGTTACCTCCTCAAAGTGGTCTCCATCAAATCCCTCGACACCCGCGGGGTCGTCCCAACCCTGCCCCTGTTCCCGCCTCCCTGTGAACTTCTTCCCACAGGAACTACGGCCTGCGTCCCATGGTCACTCGCCATCGCACCACGGGAGAGCACATCCAATCCATCGAAGGCATGCAATTCGTCGATGGTTACCTGCTCAAAGTGGTCTCCATCAAATCCCTCGACACCCGTGGGGTCGTCCCGACTCTAGACGAGCTACAGCGCTTTCAGCGCGCTGCAGGGGACGGGGAGCGGGGGGAGTATGGCGGAGGGGGGTTGGGGAGCGGCGTGGGGCCTATGGGGATCTCTGCGGAGCAGGCGAATCGGCAGAGGGGGCGGCTGGTGAAGGGGGATGTGGTTGAAGTGGTGGAGGGCGATTTGAAGGGGTTGAAAGGGCGCGTGGAGAAGGTGGATGAGGACGAGGTTATCATTCGGCCGCACCATGACGAGCTCAAGGTGAGCGTACGGTGCGGTGCAGTGCGGTTGTCAGTGGTTCTGTGCGATTCTGTAAGCCTCAGTGTGGTTAAACTTTTTAGGCCTAGGCGGTGGCTGAGGGAAGGGGCTGAAAGGGCGGGTGGAGAAGGTGGATGAGGGTGAAGGTGAAGAACTACCACCACCACGTGAAGGTGGTGGCGGCGCAGAACTAGTGTCGCTCACAAGCCCATTCTCCTTCTGCTTCTTTGTCAATCCACTGTCCAATTCACCCCCCCAATCCCCTCTCCACAGGACCTGCTGCCAGTGAAGGAGTCGCAGCTGCGAAAGTTCTTCCAGACAGGCGACCACGTGAAGGTGGTGGCGGGGCAGAACGATGGGGTGACGGGCATGATTGTGAAGGTGGATGGGCACATTGCGATCGTGCTGTCAGACACGTCGAGAGAGCACGTGAGTGTGGTGGTTACAGGGTTGTTGCACTGTGATGATAAGGCTGCAGTGTGGTGCATTGAGGGAGGCAGGACCACAAGGTGACGGGCATGATCATGAAGGTGGATGGGCACATTGCGATCGTGCTGTCAGACACGTCGAGGGAGCATGTGAGTAGGGCGGTTAGGGTGGCTGTTCGGGTGGTCTTTGGGGTTGTTGCATGGTGATTGCAAGGCGTCAGTGTGGCACACAGGGGGCAGCAGGACGGGGTGACGGGCATGATTGTGAAGGTGGATGGACACATCGCCGTTGTTCTGTCAGACACATCGCCGTTGTTCTGTCAGACACATCGCCGTTGTTCTGTCAGACACATCGCCGTTGTTCTGTCAGACACATCGCCGTTGTTCTGTCAGACACATCGCCGTTGTTCTGTCAGACACATCGCCGTTCTGTCAGACACATCGCCGTTGTTCTGTCAGACACATCGCCGTTGTTCTGTCAGACACATCGCCTCTCTTCCCTCCTCGTCCCCTCCCTTTGGCCCGCTTTCCCCTCTCTCACAGGTGCGGGTGTTCACGCGCGATCTCATGTCAAGCTCAGAGGTGACTGCCGAGCAGTTGCTTTGCTTGTCGCACCTCTCAATGCGCCTCTCTTCCCTCCTCTTCCCCTCTGCTTGGCCCGCTCTCCCCTCTCTCACAGGTGCGGGTGTTCACTCGCGACCTCATGTCAAGCTCAGAGGTGACAGCTGGTCCTTCTCAGATTGGCGACTACGAGCTACATGACCTGGTGCTGCTCGAGTGAGTAAAAGTCAGGAAGGGAGGGAGACAGGAAGAGTGCGTGTGCATGTGCGTGTGCTGGTGAAATCATGTCGAGACCCTGTTGCTAGCTTTGTCATGAGCTGCAAGTCCTTTGCCTCTGCCTGTCCCGTCAACCCTTTGCCTGTCCCACGCGTCCATCCACCCCCTCCCAGCCAAACAACGGCAGGCGTGATCGTCAAAGTGGAGAAGACAGGCTGCGTGGTCCTGAAGGCAACCCCTGAGCGCAGCGAGGCAGTGGCGGTGAAACTCAGAGAAATCCGGCGCAAGATGAACAACAAGAACGTGTCGGCACACGATGCAGAGGGCCTGCCTGTGGTGGCCAAGGACCCAGTCCGCGTGGTGGAGGGCACTTACCGCGACCGGCGGGGGACCGTCGAGCACATTCACCGCGGCGTGCTCTTTGTGTTCGACCGCCACTACGTGGAGAATGGAGGGTTCTTCTGCGTGCGGGCGCGGTCGGTGCGGTGTTTGACTGCCAAGGCTGCCGCTGCCTCTGGGGTGAGTGGGGATCAGTGGGGCAGGGCTTATCACTGGGGGTGGCTTGGAAGTGGGTTGCTGGGGGTGACACAGAGAGAGCCTCCCTGTAGTGGCCAAGGAAGGATCCCGTTCGCGTGGTGGAGGGGAGGGGTCCTACCGGGACCGGCGAGGCACGGTGGAGCACATTCACCGCGGCGTGCTCTTTGTGTTCGACCGCCACTACGTGGAGAATGGAGGGTTCTTCTGCGCCCATGCGCGGTCCGTGCCCTGCTTGACTGCCAAGGCTGCTGCTGCATCAGGGGTAAGTGGGATGGGGATGGGCTAAAGGGATCTAGGCGTCTCAGATCCATGGCACCATTTGACCAGTGGAGTGATCCCGCAATTTGGAAGGAGTGATGCAGTCGCCCTCTGTTCTCCTGCAGTTATATGCGCTTGGCTCATCCCCTTTCCCCTATCTTTTCTAACACCCATCCCCCCTTCCCACAGCGCAACTCGGCAGGTGGAGGAGGAGGGGCCATGGCACCATTCGACAGGAGTTTCGGAGGAGTGATGCAGTCGCCCTCGCGCTTCCTGCCGTTATGTGTGCTTGGCTCATCCCCCTTCCTCCATCCATTTTATACGCCCACCCATCCCCCCTTCCCACAGCGCAATTCAGCAGGTGGCGGCGGCGTGGGAGGGGCCATGGCACCGTTTGACCGGCGGTTCGGTGGAGTGATGCAGTCACCCTCTCGCTTCCTGCTTTTATGGTCCACTCATCCCCTGCATTCACTGCCCTTGCTCACCCATTCCCACAGCGCAACTCGGCTGGGGGCGGCGGTGGGCGAGGAGCCATGGCACCATTCGACCGGCGGTTTGGTGGAGTGATGCAGTGGCCCTCGCGCTTCCTGCAGTCATATGGTCGACTCATCCCATTCCTTCTCTGCATTGCCTCAACCCTCTTATCACAGCGCAATTCGTCTGGTGGTGGTGGAGGGGGAGGGGCCATGGCACCATTCGACCGGCGGTTCGGAGGAGTGATGCAGTCGCCGTCGCGCTTCCTTCAGTCACCCAGGAACTTCCCCGGCAGCCCCAGCAGACAAGGCGGCAGAGGCCCTCCGCCAGGTGAGCACCTGGACTTCACCGCACATGGTTAGGTTGGGCTGGGCTGGACTGGGCTGGGCTGGGTTGGGCTGGGTTATGTTGGGTTCGGCTGGGCTGGGTAGGGCTGGATTGTTTGGGTTTCGTTGGGATGGATCAGTTTTAGCAGCAATCTGGCTTGATCAACTTTGTATAATATTCTGCCCCTTTTCCCACACCCTCTCTGCCTTGCATTCTCCCTTGTCTTGGTTCTACCCCGCCACCCATCTCCTGCCTAAGTTTTCTCCTTACCCCGCTTCCCACCACCTCTATTTGTCGCTTTTCCCCCATGACCTTTTTCCCTCCCACTCCCCCTCCCCGCCCGCCTCTCCTTCTCCCTCACCTTCTCCTTCCCCTTCTCCTTCTCCCTTTCCCCTCACCTCCCACCTCCCGTCCCCTGCAGGCGCGTATGGGGGAGGGCGGATGGGGAACAGGCGGGAGAGTGGCATGGTGGGGCGCATTGTAAAGATACGAGCGGGGCCTTATAAGGGGTACAGAGGCCGGGTGCTCGATGCCACTGACACCACAGCAAGAATCGAGCTCGAGTCGCAGATGAAAGTCGTTACAGGTACGATATAGTATGTGCTGCGAGGAGGCTTATAATGGGTACAGACTCTTTGTAGAGGCCGGGTGCTCGATGCCACCGACACCACAGCGCGAATCGAGCTCGAGTCGCAGATGAAAGTTGTTACTGGTACAATTGGGGAAGGCTTATAAGGGGTACAGACTCTTTACAGAGGCCAGGTGCTAGATGCCACTGACACCACGGCACGAATTGAGCTCGAATTGCAGATGAAAGTCGTTACAGGTATGTTACACGTTCTTGCAAGAGTGTTAACAAATGACAGTTTTGCTACACTATAATAATTACAGGCTGCAGTGCGGGTAGGGTTATGCTTTGTTTTGTTTGAAATGACCAATGTACCTGCCGTTTAGAGGCTGGAGTCCGGTGTTCTGTTTGTGCTGCTGTTCGATGTGTGTATGCACGCATGCTGGTTTGTCGCTTCATGGTTCTGTGTGTGTATGGTGGGTTGCGTGGTGGTGCGTGGTGTGGTGTGTGGTGGTGCGTGGTGGCGCATGGTGGTGCATGGTGGTGTGTGGTGCAGTGCGGAGGGATCAACTACCCGATGGAGCACCAGCAGCCGGGCAGCAGCAGCAATCACCCGCACCGTACAGGTATGTGCCTCTATCAAAAGGGGGGGGTGGGAAGGGGAGGGAAGGGAAGGGGAGGAAGGGGGGGTTGGAGGGGAGGGAAGGGGAGGGTGGGTGGGGGGATGCTTCGTCCATGAATGCAGATCCTAGGCTCGTCCCTCCACGCCTGTATCTGAGCTTCTTCCCTGCTTCCCCCCTGCGCTTGTTGCCTCCCTCCGACCTTTCTTTCTCCTTTTGAGAATTCCCAAAAGAAAATTTTCTCCAACCTTTCGTTCTCCCCTTCCAGGGAGTCGCCTCGCTTCAGAGGGTCTCTGGGCAGCGAGACGCCAGTCCATCCCTCTGCACCTGAACTTCTTTTCCCCAGCAGTTTGGGTTTTTCTCTTCTGACCTCCTGCGCTTGCTGTCTCCCCTCCTTGCCTCCCCCCCCCATCCAGGGAATCGCCGCGCTTCAGAGGGTCCCTGGGCAGCGAAACGCCCGTCCATCCCTCGCGCACGCCCATGCACCCAGGCTTTGGCGGCCGGGGCTTCGATCCCTCTGGTACGCCGTGCTTCTCTATTCCTTCACACTGACCCTTCGGCCCTCCGATTTAGCTCGTTATTTATACTCCTCCATAGAATTAGGCGGGTCAAGCCTCCAGGAATTTTACACTATGTGACCACCAGCCCTCCACAAGGGCCAGACCCCCAGTCACCACCCTCACGCCATATCGCCTCCCCCCTTTCCCTCTTTTCCTCTGTGCCCTGCAGCCACACCAGTGCATGAGGGCATGCGCACGCCCATGCGAGACAGAGCGTGGAACCCCCATGTGCCCACTACTCCTCTCAGGTGCTTTTCCCATCGACTTTCTCCCAGCTTGGTTTTGTACCTCGACCCAATAGTCACTTCCATACACCTCGTCGTCTCAGTTTTGCAGTGTCAGAAGCCTTTTTTTTTTCTGTGGTGCCTTCAATGTCTCATCGTCCCTCTCCGTGTGCTCTCCTCATCATTAGGCCCGACTCATTCGACGAGGCGAATCCGTCAACGTGGGGTTCATCGGGCAGCGATGCTCCCTTCCTGCCCTACACAGCTCTCCCTCCCCCATATGTGCTTTGCTCTCCTGCTCTCTGCTCTGCTCCCTACCAGGCCTGACTCATTTGACGAGGCGAATCCGTCAACGTGGGGTTCATCGGGCAGCGATGCTCCCTTCCTGCCCTACACACCTGCCTTCTCGCCTGCCGACATTGCCCCATCGCCGCCTCTCCCTGTGCATGATGTACGTATTGAACTATTTATGTGGGTGTTTACACATGAGGCGACTTTTGAGACGTCTCAAAAGTCCTCTCCCTGTGCATGACGTACATATTGAACTATTTATGCAGGTGTTTATACATGAGGCGTGCACAGCACACACACTCAAACATTTGACCCCACTTTTTTGTAACATGTAACATCTAGCCCAGCAATCCCCCTCTTGATAATTCTGTCCTTTCAGCTAGGCACTGGCAGGGATCTACACACACAGCAGCCTTTGACATCCCTGTTCCTGGAAAGCCGTTTGCACCCCTTCTCCCTCCATTCCCTCGTGCTAACCTATTCCCCCTTCTTTCTCCCCTGGCACATCTCGCCCCACAATGCTGACTCTTTACCTTGCAGCCGGGTACGCCAGGCGATCTGCGCTCTGCGTTTGACATTCCCACGCCTGGCAGCCAAGCAGGCCCCAACTACAACCCCTCCACGCCTTATGGTGGGCTCCCCCTTCCCCTTCCCTTCCCCTTCCCCTTCCCCTTCCCCTTCCCTTCCCCTTCCCCTTCCCCTTCCCCTTCCCCTTCCCCTTTCCCTTCCCCTTCCCTTCCCCTTCCCCTTCCCCTTTCGCTTTCCCTTCCCCTTCCCCTTCCCCTTCCCCTTCCCCTTTCCCTTTCCCTTCCCCTTCCCCTCCCCCTCCCCCTTCCCCTTCCCCTCCCCCCGCATTCACCTTTCCCTTCGCATTCCCCTTCCCCTTTACCTTCCCCTTCCCCATCCCCTTCCCTTCCCTTCCCTTCCCTTCCCTTCCCTTCCCTTCCCTTCCCCTTCCCCATCCCCTTTCCCTTCCGCTCACCCATTCCCTTTCCCTTCCCCATCCCCTTGCCCTTGCTCTTGCAACGCCCCCCTCCCACCCCTTTCCTCCCCCATTCGCAGAAGGCTTTTTTCTTTGATTTCAAGTTCCTCCCTTCTTACTCTCGCATCATTTCAAGTTCCATTGATTCCCCTCATTCCTTCTTTGTTAACTAATGGAAGTCCATCCTTTTCTCCTGTTTCCCACTCATCACCAGGCGAGGCACCGAGCCCATATGCGGCGCAGACGCCCACGGGCCAGCCGCTCACGCCCTCGGCTGCCTACATTCCCGCCACCCCTGCTGACTCTTCCCTGCCCATGACCCCTGCCGACCCCAACTCGCCCGCCATTGGTCAGTTTCTACCCTTCCCACCCCTGCCATTGGTCAGCTCCTCCCTGCCCCGCCTACTCTTGTCGTCTCTTTTGAGGCGTTTCGAATGCCCATCCCTGCTGACTCCTCTCTGCCCATGACCCCTGCTGACCCCAACTCGCCCGCCATTGGTCAGTTTCTACCCTTCCCACCCCTGCCATTGGTCAGCTCCTCCCTGCCCCGCCTACTCTTGTCGTCTCTTTTGAGGCGTTTCGAATGCCCATCCCTGCTGACTCCTCTCTGCCCATGACCCCTGCTGACCCCAACTCGCCTGCCATTGGTCGGTTCTTACCCTACCCACCCATTGTTGTCTTTTCTCATTCGCTCCATTTTTCCTCCCATGCCGCTCCCAAGCCCTGAGATTCTACACCTGTGAATTCCCTACACGTTAACATGCTCATCTTTGTGAGTATTCCCTACCTTCGTTGCCATCCTAACCACATTCCCCATTTTCATGTTTCCCGAACCTATCGGTATTTGTGTATTCACCGAACCTGCCGCTCACAGGCATGGGAGGAGGGTTCAGTAATGGAGGAGAGGGGGGTTCACTGGGGTTGCCTGGAGTGCTGGTGATGGTGCGACGACCCGGGGGGCCTGGGATGACCACAGTTGTGATTCGAGAAGTGCTGCCGGTGAGTGTAGCTGCTTGTGTTACAAGTATGTATACTTGCCGAAATTGTAATCAAGTGTATCTGCTTTCCTCCATTCTGTTTGCTTGCGCAGAGGTTGATGGTTTTCCGTCTTTGCTTCTTTCCACCGTTTCTCTTGAACTCCGATCTCACTATGTGCAATCTGTCTGCCACCCGCCTTACCTTCTCGTCCTTTTCGCACAGGACGGTTCATGCCGTGTTGGAGCAAGCGATGCGTCAGAGTCAGAGCTCTTTATAGTGGGGCCCTCAGAGATGGATATAGTGTTACCGCGTTCGCACGACCGCGTGAAGATTCTGCGGGGACCGTTACGAGGTGCTGTGGGGAAGCTGATGGGGGTGGATGCGGCCGAAGGGATTGTGAAGGTGGATGGCGAGCCTGATGTGAAGACGATTGAAATCACTGGATTAGGAAAGCTTGTGCAGTGATTTTGATGTTGAAAAGAAGTGTAGCCACACATTGTTTTTGCTCAGAGTATAATAGGCTGAAAATGCTTCTGAGTATATCAACGTGTAGCTTGCTGCTGGTGTTTTCATTTGAGGGCTACCGTTATATTTTACTTCCAAGTACGGTAATTGCTGGTGCTTTCACCCACAGAGATAGGAAGGCTAGTTGATGTTTATCTTGTATCGAGTAATTTGCGAGTTTCGGGCGACACTGTAGGAAGGATACCCGCTCAGTGTGTTCCCCTTTGCCTGCCTATTTGCGAAGTAGCAGCTGGGCTGACACGTAGCCTTTAGGAGGAGAGAGGATAACAGGTGGTGCGACGTGAGAGAGAGGCACTGGCACGTGTCGCTTGGCTTTCCGAGGCGCATATCCCAGACTCCGCAGCGACATGCGTGTTGCGGCGATTACCTCGGCGAGCCGCCTTTTCTTCATGCGGTTCGATACGTCGAGGTGCGTAGGTTGAGGACGGGTACGCGGTGAAACCCAAGAGTGGTGGGTGGGATCCGCACGGTTCACCTGTTGTGAAACCCGTTCATAACCACGGCGTATATCCTAGATTAAGGCCTTCTATGTCATGGTATCTGATCTTCTTCCCAGTAGCCTCCGTCAACGTTGTCGATAAGACGGGTATCAGTTTGATCGGCATTTGAAATTTAAGGTTAGGGTGGAGGCAGTGGTACGCGCGGAAGCATGGCTCCGAAGCACGCGGCGAAGGCGGCGGAGGGCGACGTGCAGCAGCTCAAGACGAAGCTTGAGACCGAGCCGCTGAGCAAGAGCCTCACGGGCACCGTCATTCCCGATGAAACCTCCTTCAACATCGAGGTACCTGCATCACTGAAGCAATGAAGCTTCGCTTCAGTTATCACTACAGAATACGATCAGCCTTGATTGTGGCAAATCTCGCCTAATACCTTCCTCGAATTGCTCTGCCTTCATTCCCCATGGCAGGCGGAAATTAAGAGTTTGGGGGGGTTGGAGGTGCTGGTTCCGGGGAAGCTGGAGCCGACGCTGATTCGCCAGCATCTGGACGAGTCGCTTCTCAAGGCCTTCAACTGCGCTTCCAAGTGGGTGTACCTTCTACAGTAGTTCATTGTACTTTTTTGCTTGGTTCTTTTGGTTCCATTCAGGGTTTGTTGTGGCTGTGCTTGCACATATCTGCAGCAGTGCTTGTGTTTCCTCTTTCTATCTTCTACAGCTTTGAACAGGCAGAGAGCATTCGCCTCGCAGGCTGGTTGGCTGGTTTACTGGTTGGCGAGCGATTTATTCTTTTTGTGTGTATCAACATTTTTTTATGTGAATCTGCTCCCATGCTACAGTGTACACTTGTCAACATCGTACGCCTATCAGGCGCTCGCACTGTACTGTGGCAAGGATTCCGTGGCCCTTCGAGGATTCGGCAAGTTCTTCTGGAAACGCTCTCTGGAGGAACAGATGACGTTCAAGGACATCGCTGCCTTTGTGGTATGCACGTCTTGTGGCCTCCTGACCCTTCCCTCTCCCCTTGCTATGTTCTGTTTTCATCTGGCTGAGCTGAGAGTGCTACCCATTGCTGTCTTGCCTGCTGGTGATGTCAGAGTGGCCGTGGAGGTGGCCTCATGCTTCGAGACATTAAGGCCCCGCCTCAGTCCTTCCATGACCCTGAAAGGGGTGATGCACTAACGGGTATGCGCGTATTTCTTGGTTATTTAAGAGCGACTGGATAAACATTGCAATCACAATGATGCATGTTTCCCATGTGTCTTTCATTCCAGACACGCGTATCCATGTCTGATCTTGCTACGGAGACGTACGCTGTTCTCCCTTGCTTCAAACTACTGTGCCCATGCTATGGAGGCTAATGGTGATTTACCCTCTTTTTGTGTGGCAGTTGCCGAGTACGACCTGGCTCTGGGCAAGGTGGCATATGAGAAGGACCTTAACCTCCACAAGGTGGGCATTCAAGAGAAGAAGGGATTGTGAAAGTTGCAAGTAGGCAGTGTGCCATCCCCTTTTTCTTGGCTTGGCACTGGTGGTGGTAGTATGTGCTCCCTCTGATCCCCACCGTTCCTTTCATGCAGGCAGCAGAGATGTCGGGGGATGCTGGAGCGCAGAACTTGTTTTGAGACGTCTCAAAATACGCTTTGATCCCCACCGTTCCTTTCATGCAGGCAGCAGAGATGTCAGGGGATGCTGGAGCGCAGAACTTCATCGAGAATCGCCTGCTCAAGCCAGCGGTACGCACTCCGGCTCGGCTCTTTTCATCACCTGAATACAACCTATTTCCCTCGGTCCCAGCAATCTCGCACCAAGCCACAAGCGTTTCTTCAGTGAGGGTCAGTGAGTGGTAAGCTAAGCATAATGAGACTGTGTGTGGTGTGGTCTATGGGCTGCTGTGGCAGGTGCTGGCTCTGCAGCGCTGTGCTCGTTATGTGACTCAGATCAGGCGTGTGGGCAAGGGAACAGGTCAGTCCAGAGGCCTTTACATCTATTCTTTTGCCTGTGTCTTTTGCCACTCATTTAGTGGAGGAGATGGGAGATTAGCATAACTGTGTTTTGGCTTTCTGAGTAATGGCTCTTTTTGCTGCTGCAGGGGAGTATCAGCTCGATCATCACATGCTCATGGGCGTAGACATTGGAGAACTCACTGTGGGACAGGTAGGAGACTACAGTCGGTGTCCGCTGTTTGTTCCTTTTGTTTGTCCAATCTCTCTTCACCCGTTTCTTGTGGCTGATTATATGTGTTGGTATGAAGGTTCTTCCGGTACTGATCGTGTCCTCCCTTCCCCCGTATGGTCGTTTCAGGTGCTTGATCCATTGACTGAGCGCATGTCAGTGCACATGCAGCCACCCACCAAGCGTGCCCGCACAGCAGCTGATGGCATTGTGGGCTTGCTCTCATCCGAGGATTGATAGGCACTCCATGGCGTTGTGGATTGCGTTCTTTCAGTGGGTTTCATTTCCCAACCCTACTAGAGCAGATACTTTCAGCGTTGACTGCTGTTGATTTCTTCAGAGTTGTAGATGCTGGGTTTTGTTAACCTGTGGTAAGCTTGTACATAAAAGGGAAATATATGTGGTTCACTAGTTTCCATAATTAGTACAGTTCTTCGATGTAGTGATTGAAAGGGCAGTGGCTGGAAAGATTTGCTCCCTCCGAGGTGACGTTGGCAGTCCCTACGGGCTGGTTTCATTTTGTCAGTGTTGCATTTGCCCCCCAACCACCGCCTTTTGTTTTGTTCCGATCTGAACACTTATGCGAAGACTGGTTTCGACAAGGTTCACTTATGATCAGGTGTGATTTCATCGGGGGCACTCTCGCAGCCACGAAGAAAGTTGGGAATCCGTGCTGGTCCTGAAATGAACTTGTTCATTTGTGCAATTTGTTGCAAACCGTGTTGACCTTTCCATTTCAATTGCCCCTCTCTTTTGAGCGCACTGTAGGACCGAGGCTTTCGGCCGCTGCTTCTTTACCGTGGTGAAACGCACTCCGCCGAACGAAAAACATTATACTCGAACATATATTTTGTGGGGCGCGGCCACCCAGGGGGGTTCATTTCTTTCTTACGCGTACCGCAGTGGCAGGGCAGTATATGCTGGTGTTATCTCTCTGATTCATTTCGTGCCTCGCATTCAGGACTTGCGTCTTCGTGTCAGTGATTTCCGTCATCTCCGTGTTTTCCGTCAGTCTCCGTGGATGATAATGGAAGAGACTTGCGTCTTCGTGTCAGTGATTTCCGTCATCTCCGTGTTTTCCGTCAGTCTCCGTGGATGATAATGGAAGACGATATTGTCGCAGCTCGACTAAGAGTTAATTCGTCCGACTGCGTTCCGTCTCATGAGGAATTTTCCACTTGTAACGGAAGCACCGCTACAAGTTCTGACGACATTTTCGATGCTTCCTTCAGTGACGTCAGCACATCCTGTCACCGCACGCCTCCTCGATCCTGGAAACACGCGATGTCGCCGGGACTTACGGAAATCGAAGAGGTAACTGAGGAACACCCGAGTCGCGATAACGGAACTTTCGGATTCAAATCCGTGGCGTGTGAGCATTTCTCAGGAGCTGAACCTGTTAATAACGCGGATTCGGACAAAGTTTTTGAGAAAACAGCAAGTTTACCCCCGTTATCGCCAGGCGTCAGAAGTCCCCTTTCCTCTAAGGGATCAAGATCCCCTCTTTGTAATCACGGGGATAGGTCCCCAATTCCGCCGTCCCCACTTCTCCACGATGCGGGGAATAGGTCTCCTCTTGCGCCTTCCCCTTTGCGCTCCCCCGGCCTTCCTCCGCGCAGCATTTCCAACAAATCCGCCAGTTCCGCCGTTCCCCCTTCCGCAACACTTTCCGCGGGTTTCCCGTCGGCGGATGCGCCTTCCGCAGGTTCCCCTCCCGCGGAGCCTGGGTTGACGAATAGGGTTACCACCAAGGCCGAACGTGACCCTAACGAAGGACTTTCAAACTCGACCTGCGAAGACGCGGGAAATGCATCCAGAACAGGTGCGTCAGCGGGCTACGGGACTGGAATAGCAGCAGGAGCGGGAGGAGGAAAAGGAGCGGCAGAAGGGGAACCAGCGGAAGGTGCCAGGGAAGGGCCAGCAGCAGGAGCAAGAGCGGCAGAATCGGCCAGCGAGAGTGCGTGCGGTATTGATTCAATCAGCGGCGATGAGAGCACCAGCGCCGGTAGCAGCCACAATGCTGCAGTAGTGGTGGGTCTCACAGGACCGTCGGGGGAAGCAGGAGGAGCAGGGGGGGCAGCAGATGTAGCAGAAGCATCAGCAGCAGCAGCAGGAGCAGCAGCAGGAGGAGAAAGAGCCGCCGCAGAAACAGGAGGAGAAAGGGCAGGTTCGGAGCCATCAGACCTGAGAGGCACCGAACCGAACGGAGGAGGAGCAGGAGAGGCAGGAGGAGCACGAGAGGCCGGGCTGGGACTGGGCGCATTCGGAAGCGGGAAAGGCGTGGGCGAGCTGGGAGACGGGAGCGGAATGAGGGGATTCGGCGAGGGAAAGGGAGTGGGCGGGGGAGGGTTGAGAAGGCAGGGAAGCGGGGTGGTGGGGGGATTGCGGAGGGAGGGGAGTGTGGGGCTGAGGCGGGCGGGGAGCGGGTTGCACGCGGGCATGCGCACTACCAGTGACGTTATGGCGCAGATGAGGGGGGTTTCCGCGGGGGGGGGCGGGGGAGGGGGCGGGGGAGGGGGCGGGGGAGTGGCGGGCAGGCGCGGGTTTGGAGGGGAGACGGATTGCTCGGCGTGCAAGCTGATTGCACTGTATGGGGCGACAGGGCAGGAGATTCATCGATCCTCGTGCCCTCGTGCTAAAAAAGATGCAGGTTAGCGTGTGGGCGGTATGGGGGGGCAAGATGGGAATGTGTGCATGCTGGTTGAAGCAGTTTCGACCGCTGCAAGCTGATTGCTCTGTATGGGGCGACTGGGCAGGAGATTCATCGGTGTCGTGCCCCCGTGCTAAGAAGGATGCAGGTGAGTGGGCGAGGGGTATGAGGGGAGAGATGTGAGTGTGTGCATGCTGCTGGAAAGGCCTTTTTTGTGCAAGCTGGTTGCACTGTATGGGGCGACGGTGCAGGAGATTCATCGGTCCTCGTGCCCCCGTGCAAAGAAGGATGCAGGTGAGCGGGCGACTTTTTCGACGCCTCAAAAGTAGGGTTTGGAGGGGGGACGGATCTTTCCGAGTGCAAGCTGATTGCTCTGTATGGGGCGACAGGGCAGGAGATTCATCGGTTGTCATGCCCCCGTGCTAAGAAGGATGCAGGTGAGTGGGAGAGAGCGAAGGAGAGGAAAAGGAAGAGGAAGTGAGGGGGGTATGCATGCAAGCTGGTTGCTCTGTATGGCGCTACTGGGCAGGAGATTCACCGATCGGTGCTACTGGGGAGTATGCGTGCCCTCGCGCTGGAAAAGATGCAGGTGGGTGGGGTGAGAAAGGGAGAGGAAGAGAGGGAAGAGAGTGAGAGGGAGTGGTGAGGAGAGAGGCACAGAGTACGTTAGAAGACATGGTAGACATGAGTAGTGCTCGCACGCGCCTCATGGTGGCGGCACAGGAGGTGCTGGAGGCTCAGGCGACATGCCTTTTGTCTCCTCTCAACCACTCCTACTTCCTTCCCTCCCTCCCTCCCTCCCTCTTTTCCTCCCGCCATCCCTCTCAGGAGCATCTGGTGCCACTAGTGCTAAGCCTGGTTCACTGGAGGGGATGTTAGAGATGAGTAGTGCGCGCACGCGCCTGATGGTGGCGGCACAGGAGGTGCTGGAGGCTCAGACGCGCCTGGGCATGCACAGCGTGGCTACTGCTGTGGGAGAGAAGGCTGCTTCTGGGGGAGGTGGAGCTGGCAAGGCGGAGAAGGGGGGAGGCGGGAAGGGAGCGAGCAGTGAGGGTGGTACTGGTGGTGGTGGCGGTGGGGGTGCTGGTGGTGGTGGTGATGGGAGTAGGAAGAAGGCCGGGGGGTTGGTGGGGCTGATGCGAACAAGCAGTAATGCGGCGTCGGGTGGAGGCGGGGGAGGGGGCGGGGGAGGGATGAAAGGCATGGGATTGGGTGGGCTAATGCGCACAAGCAGTAACGCGGGCAGCATCAGCAGCAGCAGCGGTGGCGGTAGTGATGCGACGTCGGGGGGAGGCGGGGGTGGGGGAGGGAGGAAGGGCATGGGCCTGGGCGGGCTGATGCGAACCAGCAGCAACGCCAGCAGCGGTGGCAGCTCTGTTGGCGGTGTGGGTGGGTTGGGGCTGGTTCGGACAAGCAGTAGTGCAGCTAAGGAAGCAGGTTCACTTGGTGGGGGAGGATTTGGGGGAGGTGGATTTAGTTTGCCTGGAAGCAAGTCTACAGCTGGGGGAGGGAGCTTTTCTCGCTCCAGCAGCACTGCGTCTCCTCTGGGCGGCAGTGGTGGGGGTGGCGTTGGTGGTACTGGCGGCAGCAATGGTGGTGGAAAGGGGTTGAGTGGGTTGGGGAGCAATATAGGTGGGTCTGGGCTGAGGAGGACGAGCAGCAATGCAGGGTCTATGAGTGGGAAAGGGGTGGGGGGTGGGAGTGGAGGAGGGGGGGTGACAGGGGGTACTGTGGTGGGGAAGTTGAAAAGGTGGATTTCTGGTGTTGAGCAGGGTCACTAAGAATGAGAATGCAGTGCAATGTGTGGTAACTTACCACTGGTAATACTTGCTGGCTGGTTTTTGAGAACATTCTTTCCTGTAATGTTGTTTTCGTGCCATCTGCTCGTTCCTATCTTGTATCATGCTCGTTGTACCATAGTTTGAGTTGCCTCGACCCTCATATGGACTTAGCAAATCAGCAATCTTGGAATCATAGTGACAGTACTCATTGTACACATGCTTGATAGGTGTTATATCACTAGGTAGTCTATACATCTGCTGGTGGATGCGTAGCACACATTGTTGGGATAGAGATCCTTACAGCATCAAACAGGCAAGCAGCTACCGTAACGTATACACACATGTACGGTATGCAAACCACACCACACGAAACAACACCTTACGCTCGCCATGGCGAAAACAAACAAGCTGGCGAGCATGGTATACACACATTACACACGTGCTACATAAAACAAGCAACATACATTGCCCATAACCACAACCTGTGTAAGGCACAACTACGTTCGGGCTCCGGATCACGTCCGCATCCGAATCTTTTGGCTCGGCAGGATCAGGTCCGGGTTCCGAATCTGCGGATTCAGCTTCACCACTTCCGTCCACTTCATCCCACTCCCATGAACCTTCTGGGAAAGACTCCACAGGGTATCCCCAGGCTGAACCGTCACCTTAGCCGGCTTCGCATGCTTCCCAAACATCCTGCTCTCACCGCCCTTCCCCTGCTGCTTCTTCCCCATGCCGTTTGCAGCCAGCCACCTCCCGCCTGCCTGTGCTTGCTTGTGTGACCCCCACCCCCTTGCTGGTGCTTGCTCTGCTTTTAGCCCCGCCACGTGCACTGCTTTGAGCTTGAATCGGGGCGGGGCGGTGGAGGGGAGAGTGGGAGGCGGGGCAGCAGAGGGATGGACGGCAGCAGAGCCGAAACGACTGCGGGCTGTAGCGTCGATCCTTGGCTGTAGCGCTGCTTGTGCTGAGGTGGCACCATTCCACGGCTGTAGCGCCGTCTGTGCTGGGCTGGGAACATCAAGTGCAGAATACTCCAAGAAAAGCTGGGCTCTGGTGGTATTATCTGTATGACTGAGAGAGCCGCCAGGGATGGGAGAGGCAGCTTGCTCCAAAAGCCCCTGAG